AGACTGCGGCCAACTCACTAGCTGATTTCCCTACAATACTTGGGATGTTCAGCTTTTTAGACGCTGGCTCCTGTTCCCTTTTAGCTTCGGCGCGGAGGTTCAATCACCTAGAGAGCTTTGAGAACCATTATTGTATTTGGGGACGTTGTGCTGGGAGACACACGTTTGCTGAGGGGTTCTGTTACCGTCGACGTTATGGTGGTGCTGAGTTTCGGCATGTCATCACTAGTGTTATTACATGCGCCGTAGACAGCAGCGCTGTCTGTTTTCTCGTTTTCATTGCGCGTCCTTGTCTGTTTGCCCGTTTTATGACTGTTGAATGAAATTCAACCATGTTGAACAGGTATCAGTGTAGCAATAAATGATGGTTTTACAATATTGCGAATTGACTGAGGTTACGAATTTAAACTTAGTGGTCTAAATATTCTAAGTGCGACTCCATTGGAGGTCGTTATTGCATAGGTTCCCCGAATACCTACATTTGACGAAACGGTTCTAAAGCGCTTCTTATTTCTTAACGGTTCTCTAACAGCAGTCAGTGAGTGATGTGAGTTACAAACAATAATGTTAATTTGGTCTTGAATATGTCCGATTTCGTGGTCAGTCCAAGAGGAAGAGGCTACTGCACACAGTTTAACATTTCACTCTGTATCTATTGAACGGTTTATGTTAGTATATTATTTCGTTTGATCTACGCTTCATCATAATTTGCATTCGTACATTGATTACATACACTTCGAGATACCTTCCAAATTTGGATACAATATGTAGATTCTATTTTATTTTAAACTCGTAAGCTGCACTTATCTTACTGTTTACTTGTTACGATTGATAGAAAAACCACTAGTTGTACATACCATCATACATCTCCCAGTATTCACTACCAATCACTATCCAAATAGCTAAGTCATTTCATATTTATCTATTTCTGCTTCCATTCAAATATATCGTTCCTCATTACACTTTCCTTTTTGTTTGTCTTAATTATACCGTATGTTGAAAACTGCCGACCGGAGTGTCATTCGTTTCTGTCAACATCTAAAACATCACACGCTAAACTTTCATTTAGGTGAATTACATTTCGCGTGCAGTCTAGAATCAACTTGTATTGCTGAACACAAAACAAGGCGCAAATGAATGAATAATGTCTTGCTTCTATTTGTTACTGACGATACCTTCGGATTCAACAGTCGTTTAGCCGCACTGGCTATTTCCGCTATAGTCCAACAGCTGTAGCTGATGAATGCGGTACTACAAGGCACCAATCGTCCATTTGCATCTTATGTATTCTTTAATGCAAGTTAATTCTAGGCTGTTTCCTCGTGCTTCCCTTCTGGTCTTCATATTATTCTGTATATGCAATAATTTCTAACCTTCTGAGAATTTTCTTTTCGGTTGTTGACTGTGGCAACTTCCACATGATGCTCCTCTACATACTACATATAATCAATCTTATGAGTAGCATTCACCACAGTAGTAATACATATATTAATTAATTACTAATGTTAACATAATTTCTGTACATTTCAGTCGAGATTGTTCAATTTTCTATATGCGAATGAAATCACGTAAAGATGTAGATGAAGCTTATAAAACAATTCAACGTTTTGGCAATCCTAATTGGTAAAACTCATATTGACTGAACTAATAGTCTATTATAAAGAAAGAAACAAAACGATAACAATATTCCGTAATGTCATTTGATCCGTAACTATCCATATTATCTCAGGTTTTGTTTGGTTACCTTATTCCAGAGTTCAGATTTATTATTTTCAGTCCTAAATATTTTTTTTATTTTGAAAAGTGCAAACATGTAAGGTTCTGACTGGCAAATAAACGAAACATAGCCATATAAGGGTCAAAGAGAGCCAATCTAGCAGTGAGCATTTAATGCTGGCATCGCTGGATTCATTTATCCATCATAGCCCAAATTTGTACTAACTCGTAATACTTTTGACACTAATCCTGGATTCAAGCAACAAACTTTCCGGTCTTTTTTGTTTAGACTTAGCTCCTTTCATGAAGCACGTTAGGATGTGGGTCCATGAAGTTATCTGGAGCCTCCACGCCACTCCTCTTCCGCATTGTTTATTCTTATTATTTACTACCAAATGATCAGTGCAATTGAAATGAATTCTAAAATGTTACCAGAATTCGACTCATTCAGGTCATATTTGTAACAATGACTAAAGATTTCACTGGAAATATATGCAGTGTGAAGACGAACATAGCAGATGAGACCCTATCATTAAAAGTCACACTTACTAAGGATTTCACTAAAAATAAGCCAGTCATTGGAACTTATTTGTTTAGACACATAAAGATTGGTACAAGGATATGCTCCACAAGTCGTCATTCGATTTGTTTTAGGGCTGACACAGCGTCCAAAAGAAAGCAGGTAGTTTCTTCAAAGGACCACTCCCCGAACATTTGACTTAGAGGTTAATCCACAAGGCAGTGAGGAAACGTTAGAAGATGTAATCCTACGTAGCCAGTGTCCAGCAGTAGGTTCATACGCCATTTGTTTTTTCAGGATTCTGGAACTCACATTCCCCATTAGTTATGAAACAACGTTTTCCAACTTCTATATGTAGATCCTCTATTTCCACAAACCCGGTTAAGGTACCATCTCTTTCAAGCAGTCTACATCTGATAAAATGGAATCAGAATTTCAATCAGAATTTGATTCATTAAACGTGCTTTTTTATATCAATTAAGGACTTCACTAGAAATACTTGAACCTATGTCATCTGTTAAAATAACTTTAGAAATTAGTTCAGGGCTTTATTCATCTGAAATAATTTTCTCACATCGATTCAGACCAGTTTGTAATCTGACATTAGGATGTTGTCATGTAGGGCCAGTGAAACGTCACTGAACACTAGACAAATCATCCGGCAGTTGGGCCACTGAATATGGAACAGACCATCGATCTCTGTCAAGGTCAAGGATAGTCAACGCGCATCAGTTAATCATACGCCATGGACTGGCCCATACGGCAGTGTTTCTACGTTCGCTTGTATTTCCTTTAACTAATATATTCTTGTAGTAACGTCCTTTGTGTTGTACAGTCTTCAGAGCATCCATGATCCCTTAATACGGCGACTTGGCAATCCACGTAAGGTTCTGGTCGCGAGGTGTAACTTCGAAGTTAGTTTATTCGTTACACCGTCCCCGTCTAACTCTGGTAGGCCCCCAAATCATTCGACATAGACCATCAACGTTGATGGTCTACAGTCACAATGTCGATTATTTTCATTTCAGTTTTTTGACTGGTAAATATCCAATCACAATACATAATACAATGAGTAGGTCTGTTAGAAAACCGGTGTGTCGCCAAAATTATATGACGGGTAAGACAAATATAACTTCCGTTTCTGTGGTGTTCTACACTAGCACAATAGCACGACCAACGGTTGAGATTACACTGCCAGTGGACTGAATACTCGATTAATGTGTTATACACAAACTGAACTATATTATCCCAGATGCATCAATCATAATCAAATATAGAGACTTAAATTATCGACTAAACAATAACCTTATTCAACAAAATAGTTTACACTCTGTTATATTCAGAGCCTTGATTCTTAATATTCCCCAAATCAGTGTCAAAATATAGCACCGAAATCTCGTGTATTTATAGTTTTTTGGCTGAATGTAAATCATCATTTAGATCAACCAATAGGCACACAGGGGTCATGCAAATCCATCCAATGGGGAAGCTACACGTTGACATTCTAGAACATTCCCCTGGCAGTGATTGGATCGAATGTATGTGGCTCTTCCTGGGCTTCTTAAGGCTTCCTAGAGTCTACCGACGGGCCATCCTTACACACTCAATGAGTTCAAAGTATAAATCAATAATAGGAAAGTAAATCTCATTCAAGTAAATAAGCTGAGTGCTCTTATGTCTACACTCAGCAGTCAATCGGGCGATACTATAATTTATGGACGAGTCAATCAGAAGCGTTTGAGGGATTTCAAGGTCACGGAGCCGATTTCAGTACAATCGGTTCACATAGGATGTTAGAGAAGACTTGACAATGAAGCGACTACAACAAAGGAGACTACTAAAAATTTCCTGTATTTGTAATTGCGGTAACCAAATAACTTGTAGACATTGTACAGACTACCGTGATGTTGTCCTTCGATGTAATATATGTTGAAGGAAGAAGTTTGCTAAAATAGAATCCTTTATTGCTCGATCCGGATTGAAACTAAGGCATATTATAATTATTGCCGCCAACTGTATAACAAAAGCATCAGTAACATTGGTTGCAATGATCGCAGATGTTACTGAAGCTTCGGCTATTCAGTAGTATAAGTATTGTAAGTATATATCCATAATAAAAATGATAAACCTACACAACTGGAGTACAAACAAACAATAATGAAGCTATGTGATCTAGGCTGATAAGGTTTTTGTGACCATATCATGGCTTCAGAGACCAACTATTATGGATCCATATAGATGAATTCCTTTACCTTCTGCACTAAAACTTTGGAACCTTTGAATATTTTTCTAACCTTGACAAGTTTTTAGACCATATAAAAGAAGTGTATCCACTTTAATTATTTAGTTTTGTACAATATATTTTCACTCTATGCTGACTGTTTACTGATTGGCTAATATTTCTCAAAGTCACTTAAGATTCATTCATAGATCGTCCATAAATTATGGTCTCGCCGTCAATTATACTTATCTTCACTAATACACAATTATATAAAGATTTATGAGATTTTTAACTATCCTTAAACAATCAATTTCATTATTATTAATCATAAAGATGATGTACACAAAGATGGATAGTGGCTAACAGTGGAATCTAGGACGTGCGTTTCATTCTATTTGAGACTCGTCATCTTTCCTTATAATGCTTGTGAATTAGGGCTATATCAAGGTAGTCCACACAGTATGCACATACGCTAATAAGAGATCCCTGATCAACTGCAGTCCTAAACATCGATGGGAAATATTCAAACAAAACAATACCAAATGAATATATAAAGATAATGTATTCATTGAATAATTTTCATCAAGATTACAAGATAAACATTGTGTGTGTGTATGTAGGGGGGTAGGGGGGTTATACTTCATTGGGAGTAGTAACAGGCATAAGTAAGCAAGTGTGTGTGTGTGTGTGTTTGTGTATGGTAAATGATCAATTGCACTAAATAATGATTAGAATAGTTGAAATGTTACATAATACATGATTACAAAATGATAAATGTTTTTGAGAGAAAAAAAATAATGAAAATTATACAAATTTTCTTCTTATGATTATTATGATACTACTTAAATTCTTATTGAAAAAAGTGATTTAAGAATAAAAATTATTTTATATTTTCATGATTGATTGATTGATTGATTGATTGATGGATTGTAGTTTATTCATCTGAAATACAGATTATAAAAATATGAAATTAGGAGTCATAGCAACAAATTCAAAAAAGATTATTGATATTCTCACTTCAATCTTCAATGAAAGAGCCTAGTGATCCGTAACAGTTAGCTTACAAATGCAAAAGAAGTACCTTAGATACCGTTTCTGTTCTGAATTACAATATAGTGTTCAGCTTGGTAAAGGATAAGTAGTATATTCGATGCGTTTTTCTGGACTATACTTCTGCTTTTGATTCTGTTCCAAGACATCTCTTACTTGACAAGTTGATTAGCGTCAACATTGACTGCTGGATAACCAATTAGCTATGTTCCTATCTTTCTGGAAGAAAACAGTACACTGTGTTTGTAGGAATATTTTCAACGTCTCTACTGTCTAATCACTGTATGCCACAAGCAGCTGTTTTTTCACTTCCTCTTTTCTATTTTTTTTCTTCATGATTTGCCATCTTCCACAGATAACACTTTCGTGAAGTATGCGGACGACTTCATTGCCGATTTCTACCTCTTCACATCTTATAGAAATGAATAAGTTTTTGTCTCGTATTAAATGGTGGTCTGTTGACAATGGTCTCTTACTTAATCTATCTTAATGTCAAGCTGTTAACTTTAGCCAGAGACATGGACAGCACCTAAACACTATTTCAGGATCCCATAATGCTTGTGCCATTGGAGACTCCTTGATAAAGACAGTGCCAAAGGTCAATTATATTGGTGCTACATTTTCTTCTGATCTTTCTTGGTTTCCTTATGTTTTACTGTCATCGAAAAAAGTTTACCGTTTGACTTACTACATAAAGAGGCTGCACGTTTTTGTAATTACTCGCCATTTACTCTTACAATTTATCAATTCCTTTATATTACCTATTATTCTTTACTGTTCTCCGTTATACGTTCCCGAGCTTTTGAGGAAAGACTTTGCTGTACTGTGAAGACTCATGAAGGTATATATTAAGTAATAAAGAGGATATACAAACTTTCATGATATTAAGCTTTCTTTTAAAATCCTGAGTACAAATTCAAATCCATATTTTTTTCACTACTAAAATTAGAAATATCAATATATTTTCATAGTTGAAATCATGAGTCGATTGAAGCTAGACCATCGTGGAAAACCTAGAATTAATGGACAGCTGTTCGTCCCATTGTGGGACTCCTCATCATTGCGAATCCACGATCCCGCCTCGCGAGATTCGAACCCAGAACCTACCAGTGTCGCGTGAAAGCGCTTAACCACCAGACCACTGAGCCGGCCGGCATCCAAAGGTGTTAATGTCTAACTTCAACTAATCCAAAAAATTGAGCAACTGTCCACTATTGTCTTCAGTCAGTTACTATCTCACAACAGACCCGATTGAACTCCAATGGTCACTGCTTTTCACTAGAACTCTAGGAAATACCTCTTGAAGCCAGTCACTAGTGAGCAAATGATTATTATCAAAAGGGGTTTTTGTGGATGCTCACTGCTGAGTAGTCCCACAATAAGACGAAACCGTCGTCCAGTGCTTCCAGGTTCCAAAGCATTAAAAATGTAGATTTCTATTAATCAAGATATCACAATCATAATATTTATATCATAAATCAATTACTCATTTAACTCGGTTGATAAGTTCGAACCCATTTATTGGAAATTTTTGTTGTCACCGTCTGATAGTATCACAATCCTGTTACGTCTAAAACCTAACTTAAAGTATACAGACTTATTCCTTTAAGTTCATTTATAGGTAAATGAACGTATTATCATTATTGAACTTACCATCCATATAAGCTCCATCAGCAAGAACTAATTGTAAAATACGATCATAATAAATTCGTGTTTTCTCTTCACCTAAAACACTTGTAACAATTTGTTCACTTTCAGTAATTGTTTCATCTTCATCTTCTTGTAATGCCTAATAATCAAAGATAATTAAAAAAAAGATACTTTATAGAATGTTCCACGCTGAACTCCACGTTGTCAAATTATCTAAGCTTATAGTAGTCAGTGATCATAGCTATGTTTGACGAGACGATCATTTACGGACAAACTACCCTGAATTAAAGACAGCAAGTCTTGGATATTGGCTCCGAATCCATTCATCAATATAATTAAATAGCATTTTGGTATGATAGCTGATATTAGTCTATGATGAAAATCTTGACTCTAATTCTTTACTCGAATGTTTTACTATCTATCCTATACCTCATTGAACTCAGAACAACTCTCAACTAATTTCGAAGTGATAATCTTCAATACAAACGTCAAGACAGTCCTACTATAAGGAGCTGAAACGTGGAGAACTACAACAACCATCGTCAAAAAGGTACAAGGATTTATAAACAGTTGTATACGCTAAATGCTCAACATTCACTGGCCGGATACTATCAGCAACAGCGTTTTATGGGAGAGGACAAACCAGCTTCCAGATGACGAGGAAATTAGGAAAAGGTGTTGGAAGTGGATAGGACATACATTAAGGAAATCATCAAACTGCATCATGAGGCAAGCTCTAATTTGGAATGGTGAAGGGAAGCGGAAAAGAGGAAGACCAAAGAACATAATTCGCCGGGCGATGGAAGCAGATATGAAAAGGATGAATATTAACTAGAAAGAACTGGGAAGGATTGCTTGGGACAGGGTTGAATGGAGAAAACTGGTGTGCGGCCTATGCTCCTCCACGAAGGGTAACATGCGGAAGTAAGTAAGTAAGCTATACCTAATGACTCATACTAATTATAAACCTCTTAAGATCTCAGCAAATAAGCGAATTATATAAGTGGATTATACTAAGACAAAATGATCACCATATCTCTTCTAGTTTTCAGTAGTTATACGGTCAATGGTAATTCATGATGAGAATTAATATTTATTAACCATTTAAGAATAATCAATGTTATGTTTGTCTAAACCTTAGTGTTAATCAGATTATTTTGATCATATTGTGATAAGGCCATTAGTTGAAATGACCATTGTCTGGAGGTAGTCAGCAAGAATCCGTAGACCGAGGTTTATTGCTACTTACCACAGGTCAGCAATGTACCTGTAATATTGAGGGAACTGATACTTCTTGTAAGAATGAACGCATTGCAAATCAGTCGGTAGAATTCAATGAACAGATGCCTTAGAAATATTACTCGCATCTGCTGGGATCACCGGGTAAGTAATAGTGAGGTTAGATGCAGGGTAATAGGGAATGATGGTAAATCAGTTGATGGGGTTGTCAATCTTTATCAACTGAGATGGTTAGGCCACGTGTTACGTATGTCTGAACACCGATTACCACGACATGCTATGCTGTCTGATGTAGGGGATGGTTGGAAGAATGTTAGGGGTGGCCAAACCAAAACGTGGCATCAGAGCATGAAGTCACTAACTTCTAGTCAAAGCCATGTTGGTAGATGCAGACTACTTGGTTGGGGTCCGCGTGACTATCGTAATCAATGGTTGGAGACTCTGAATGACATGGCTCAGAATCGACCAGAATGGCGTAGGTGTATACACTCTTTATCTTCCGTCAAACCTTGAGATTAAATTTGCTTCATATCTGTCTTTCTTCCTGTATTATATCCTTATATACAATTTTTCTTTTATATATTACCACTACTAAATTAACTACTTCTATGAATCCGGTGTTCATCTTGTTGTGCTAATGATGTATGGCAACTTGGACCAATGCACATATGTACCTGGTCCTACGTTGTAGCTGACTGACTGACATGAATTAGTAATTGATTTCCAAACAACTGGTAACATCTCAACCCTATTGGCGATCAGTCTTGGAGTGGCTCACTATAAAACTAAGTGGCTCTGGTTTAAATCACATGAAGAAAATCAATTTCCCTAGGATTGTTGGTTTTATGCTAAAAAGTGGAAACTAGCAAAAGACATAGGTCCAGAGTTTCCTCCCAACTACATTCAACAACTAAATTTGTACACTGATCTTCCAAAAGTAGAATGATCTTAGGACTCAGTGACCGAGTGGATAACGCGATGGCGTTTGAAGCGAAAGGTATTGGGTTCGAGTCCCGTAGTGAATATCAACTTTGAGATGCAAGTACATCCGGCTGACGAGCTCCAATAGGATGAAATACTCATCCTGGATTCCACTGCTAGCCACTGTCCATCTTTGCCTACAATGCTTGTGAATTAAGGCTCTATCAAGATAATCCGCACAGTATGCACATATGCCAATTAAAGACTGACCAGTTACAGTCCTAACACATCGATTGAGAAGATTCAAACAAACAATACTTAATGAATCTTAGGAAACATTAAGAAAATAATCTTACCTGAATAACATTGTAAGCTTTAATTAATAATTCAAAGCCTAATTCTTCTTCTAGATCAGCTCTCATTTGTTCTAAACGAAGAAATTGTGTATCACCTAATGAATTGTTATTGATTGTTGGTTTTATGATACTATTGTTATGTAATGCTTCATTATGGTTATTATTATTATTATCTCCATTCATTTTTTGTTTATGTAAGTTTTTCGATATATTACTTACGAATGAATTATCACTGAAACTATCCGATTCAGTGGAATCATCCAAAACACTGTCTGTATCATTGTCGTCATCACTAAGGCTTCCATCACCGTCATCATCATCATCATCATAATCATCAACATCATATTCACTTAGTTCAAAATCTGATTCATTCACTTCTGTTACTCGAGCTAAACGATTACCTTGAACTGGTTTGCATATATTCACAAATGATTCTTGACATTCACCATTCAATGGTTCTTTATGATTCTGTTTAGAGTTTACTCCTATGGTTATGTCATGATCAACATCAACATCATCATCTTCTAATTCTTCTGTGATTTCATCATCTGTATTCTTTTCATCTAATAAACGAATGTCATCTTTTGTTGTATGAGTTGTATATCCAATGGAAACATTATCTAATCGATTAAGAAAATTACGTAATTGATTACTACTAGTTGATGTTATATCTTCAGGAGGATTCAAACTATTATTTGTATTCTCATTATTCTTATTAGTTACATCATCATGAGTATGATTTTGATATGATTGTCTATATACTGAATTCATTTCAGTATAACTATTATATGAAGTTTCTTTAGTTAGTTGATCATTCTTAATAATTTGTTGAATAGGGAGATTGATTGACACTAGGAGAAAAAAAAGAAAAAAAAAGGCATATTCATCTTGAAAACATTCAAACGACATTCAAACAATGAACTTTAAGTACAGTTGAAAGTGTGGGTTAATTGAAGGTAGACCACCATGGAAAACCTGGAAGCACTGGACGGCCGTTTTGTCCTATTGTGGGACTCCTCAGAGCAGTGCGCATTCACGACCTCGCCTCGCGAGATTCGAACCCAGGACCTACTAGTCTCGCATGAGAGCACTTAACCGATAGACCACTGATACGGCATCCATGGTGTTAATGTCTAACTTCAACCAATCTACAGTTTGAATAGTTTATAATTTTAAAAAATACAGACAGAGTAATAGCATCAGTGATAGGAAAATGTAATAGGACCGACTCAAAACTTTGGCATCTAACGACTTCAGTAATAAGCAAAGATGATAGTGGTTATCAGTGGAATCTAGGATGCGCGTTTCGTCCTATTCAGGACTCACAAAGTGGGTGTACTTGCACTTTAATTGTAATGCTTGTGAATTAAGACAACATTGAGGCAATCCCAACAGAATGAACATGTGTCAATAAGAAACTTATCAATCAAAGTCCTAAACACCAATAGGCAGGTTCAAGCAACTAATGCCAAAATGAATTATACTCTAACAATAGTTCATAAAAATCGTTCTGACCCTAGCCGCGTAATCTTCCTTTATCAACATGCCTTAGAATAACAGTCATTACCTTCATGAACTGACTTCAAATCTTGGTTTTCTTTTAACTTACTCCTATTCTAGTCGAACATTTAGTAATGATGCAAACAGGGATTTTAGCTTGCATTATTGTCTTCTAACCAATTCAGTCAATGAAAATTTTAAATCTCATCAACTGATTTACTATTTTGTGTAGTACTTTGCGAAGACATTATGAAACCGAAATACTATAGTGTATTTGCTCAACATATTACGAAAAGTTTGATCACATGTATACTTCACGAGACTACTTTCTCTATGAAAGTTATAAAGTCGGAGTAACAACAGTGTTATATCCCTTGGAGATTTGTTAATGTTAACTTTGAGGACTATTTATGAACCAATGTGATATGTATATTTCCTATTGCATAGTTGCTAAGTAACTAAACTATTCATATTCATGTCCTTCTTATTATGAGCTTGATTTTGACCTATAGACTATTATTATACGATTTACCGTTCTTGAGTTATCCCTAGTCTATTAATTACTCTTCCCCCTATTCACAGCCACATTTGGCTAAATCTTGTACGAATGTTATTTCCAATTTTAATGTTACGATGTGGTCAGTTTGTTTGGTATATAAACTCAGTATGTTTGAGAATAATGATTCATATTGCAGAGGTTGTTCTCGGTGTTCTAAACTTAACTGACTGGGCTAGGCAGATATAGCAGGACTGATAAGTACTCAAGACTGCTCATACAGCTTTTTGTGTATCATTACTCTGATCGATAATTCGCGGGGATTAGTAAACACGCACTCAATCGATATAACAACTGGCGGTCTTATAATGTCATATATTAAAGAGGGCACGCATTCAATCTTTATAACAAACAGTTTGCTACATAACAATTGTCTTTAAAAAAGAATTTTATGAAATTATCAAAGTAGGTTTATAGTAAGAAGATAAATCCTCCGAAGACTATATTACAATGAACTTATAAGATCTAATATGATGTTCATGAGATATGTATTTATTTATCTAGTGAATAATGGAAGAAAATTGTATGTTTCAAGTGGACCTATAAACTGTCATTGTTTGATCTATAATCCCTTAGTTGTTGATTATGAATCACATAATGTTTGCAATACCCTCTACTACTTACGATATGACTGTATCTAAAGAATGATTTCTTATCTAATATGGTATTTAGTCAAGAATTCATCAAATTGATTACAATAGATAACTATTGTGCTTCCTATCTGCGTTTTCTGAATAGCCAATAGGTTGGGAAGAGTTTGAGAACTACTAAACTTCAAGCTCTGAGATACTGTTCATTGATCAATGTATCTGTTGACAAATACAAAGTTCACTGATCCTAATGTTGTACTGAACGGAACACTAGTTGGGGACAATCGAATGAATTTAGGCATCAATCTTGCCTACGCCTTGAATGACGCAAGTTGGCGAAAGCTAGACGAGCCTTCTGTATCCGTGCTGAGATTTTGTCACACACTGTTATAATTGTGTTTTGCTATATAAACGACCCAACGATTCGTATTGCTTAGTATTCTTATACGATGACACTCAACAAGACCCCAAAATCAGAACACGTTGAACAGGAATGAAATTGTATTCACAAATAACAATCGTAAGTGAACAGCAATTACTAGTTTGAATAACGTTCATATATTTATAGTATATACATAAGAAGCTTCTAGATTTTTCACCAATAATTTGCTCGGGCTGATCGGTTTAGAATTAGCCAATCAGCGCGCAGCAACACCATCATGCATGAAACATGCTTTACTCCAATCTATGTCCCGCTAACACACACCAAACCACAAGGGCCGATGAGACTCCTAAGATAAGTGAAGCGGTCAACAAGCTCAACTACTTCACTTCCTATTATTTAGTTCAGGTGCCGATGCAACCCAATCCTGAAGTAACAATTTGCACTTCGAGGGAGAGAATCGCATCCCGAACATGCCTGCATAGTTGCTTATAGTGGTCAGAAGACTCTGCATTTTGTCAGCGTCTTCACCAAATAGAACTATGTTATCGGTGTATTCTAAGTCAACAAGTGAACCTCCCTGTAAAAGTTTATTTCCTGGAAATTTAGATGATGAAAGTGTTATCTCTAAAAGCATGTCGATGACAAAGTTAAACAATGATTTGGAGAATGGACAGCCCTGACGAACACCACTTGAGGTAATGGATTCGGATGACAGTTCGCTATAGGCTCTAACTCGATCAGTTGTGTTAGAATAGAAAGCCTGTATAGGGTTAATGTACTTCTTTGGTACTCCTTTCAGTGACAAACACTGCCATAGAACCTCACAATCAACGGAGTCAAATGCCGCCTACTGGTAATCACTAAACACAAAATACAGTATCATCTAATTTGTAGTAACTGTAAAGTGAAATGAATTCATTAACAAAAAACAAAACATGAAACTTCACCAATTTGATAGATACATACATGATCGTTTTCTGATGTTACTTAGATTTTCACAATCGGATAATTGACTTGATGAATATTTTGATCTTGGAATGTTTTCTGAATGAATTTCATTATTCTTACCAATAGAATTTTCTTCTATCATAGAATGATCATTGAATAATGTTGATTTCGTTGATCTTTGGTTATCACATTCTGATAGTGTTGAATTATTGGAACAATCGTTATCTACATCGGATGATAAGACGGTATCATTAGAATGATTTATATTTGAAGTCAAGATGACTTGTAACATACTTTGACGTACTAATTCAATATCTTGTTCATCATCTTCTATATCTAATATGTTTTTGAAATGTTGATTAATTATTGTTGGATTGCTGCTATTTATTACTGTATTTTCATTGATATTCCAATCATTGATTTCATTTGTCTGATAATTTTGTTGGTCAATATTTATGTTACTGAAATAAGCAGTATAAGTAGTATAGATGTTTTAGTAAAATAATTATGCGAATTTTCCAACCTGACATATGAAAATTAATGGTGAGACTGTAATTTATGGAGGGATTTCAAGGTCACGGAGCCAATTTCAGTACCTGATGCTCATGTACAATCGGTTCACATAGGATGTTAGAGAAGACTTGACAATGAAGCGACTACAACAAAGGAGACTACTAAAAATTTCCTGTATTTGTAATTGCTGTAATCAAATAACTTGTAGACTTTGTACAGACTACCGTGATGTTGTCCTTCGATGTAATATATGTTGAAGGAAGAAGTTTGCTAAAATAGAATCCTTTATTGCTCGATCCGGATTGAAACTAAGGCATATTATAATTATTGCCGCCAACTGTATAACAAAAGCATCAGTAACATTGGTTGCAATGATCGCAGATGTTACTGAAGCATCAGCTATTCAGTAGTATAAGTATTGTAAGTATATATCCATAATAAAAATGATAAACCTACACAACTGGAGTATACACAAACAATAATGAAGCTATGTGATCTAGGCTGAGAGGGTTTTTGTGACCTTATCATGGCTTCAGAGACTAACTATTATGGAGCCATATGGATGAGTTCCTCTACATTATGCATTACGATTTTGGAACCTTTTTCTAACCTTGACAAGTTCTTGGACCATATTAAAGAAGTGTATTCACTTTAAATATTTGGTTTTGTATAATATATTCTTACTCTAGTTGACTGTTTACTGATTGGCTAATATTTCTCAAAGTCACTTAAGATTCATTCATAGGTCGTCCATAGATTATAGTCTCGCCGGTGACTATGATGGAACAAAGAACTAATTTTAATCTTAGCCGATAACTGATGAGTAACTACGTTAAATAGGGGATGAGAGGTATCATCGTGAAAGAATTATACTTCTTGGTTGAAATGTTGAAAAAGAAACTATTTGTCTGTACTTGTATTCATATGTAATTCAGTCAGTATGTCAATAAATGAATCATTCTTTTCATTTGCACAGTAGTTTAAAGTACAACTTTTAAAGAGTGAACATTTGCATTCTTGACAAGATATTGCATAAGGACTGAGAATTGAATCCACGATGTACGTTCGTCTTGTTCACGATAAATCAGCTGAATGTATTCAGATTTATGTACATGTTCATAGTGAAACTCAAACTTCATACTAAACCAACAAATTAGCTTACTCTAATGTAAAATAATAATCATTATGAGTAGGAGAATTGTGGAGATAGTTGAATGTCGTTGAGATCATGGTTAGATGTAAGCTTGCCAACCATTGAAAACCAGAAAACACTAGACAGCTGTTTTGTCTGAGTATTGTACTCCTAAGCGGTTGGCATCGACGAAACTCAAACCGCAGATCCAGCTCAAGATCTACGGTGTGCCACGCGGTTGACCAACCTTCATATCACCAGGTAAGGATCCAGTGGTGTGCAAGTCTAACTTAGGTCAATCTGTGATATTGTGCAACCATCTTCCATTGTCTTAGGTGAATACCTTGCTCAAACCTGACATGGTTGAAACTTCATTAGTTATAGCTTCTCACCAGAACTCCTGAAATTCCCTCTTGAAACTTATCGCTAATGGACACTTGGTGATTACGAGTATAAGGAAGATACAGGCAATCAGTGCTTTCAGGCTTTGAATGATTGTTTAACCTAGATTGATTCATGATCTCGGTGTAAATTGATTTGTTTCATAAAATAGGTTGAGAATTAAAGCTTACTTGGTATCGTTGCAACTGTTAGACTGATGTTCTTGTAAATTCAATAACGACTTTCCATGTGAATCTTTATTGTGTTTAGATAATACTTGTTTAAATTGAACATCAGTTGGTGATGATGAAGTTAGGAAAAAATTACTGATATTTGGTAATGAACCAGATCTATTCATCTATATATGAGGAAAGATAAGGAGATCAATCAAAAAAAATATCATTATCAGAAGGGGGTTTCGTGGAGATTTTAGTAATTATATATAGTTGAGATCATGAGTCAATTGAAGCTAGACCAATCAGTCTCGCGCGCGAGCGGCATCCAATGGTGTTCATGTCTAATTTCAACCAATCCACGATAGGTCCTGGGTTCGAATCTCGCAAGGCGGGATCGTGGATGCTCACTGTTGAAGTCTCACAATAGGATGAAACGGCCGTCCAGTGCTTCTAGGTTTTCCATGGTGGTCTAGCTTCAATTGACTCATGATCTCAACTATATAAAAAAAGATATCAATTTATTGTTATAAAAAGTGAATTAAATAGAGTTGACAATTGAAATTTTCATGTTTATTACTTACACCATTGACAAAAGAGTCCAGGAAGTTGTACTCTCATAATTATTAGCTCATTGATTTCATCTGGGACTCTGGAGTTGAGAGATGCGGATTCTTATCTCACAGAGAGTACATGTCCCCTTTAAGATTGGAGGTACATACCTTACTGACAAGGTTTCTAAGTTTCCTGTCGATTACCATCAAATACCTCACTCTAACAAGTAATGAAGATTTAGATTTATTAGTGTTCAACACAAATCTATATAATTCATATCAGTTCAGTTGAGGAGGAAATTGACATAATGATTGATAAAAACAAATGAATGGTAATAATTGCTATGAATTGAGATGCTAATCAATATCATGTGTTAAATCCATCAATCCGTATTCTGATTATGATTTTTGTTCTATCCTGCGTCTACTGATCTGTCTAGTAACCCAGGCTTGATCAATTATATGTTCTGACTTGTAACATCAACATTGCATCAGCGCAAGCTACAGTCATGTTGGTCAGCTATCTGTATTCTTTTACTCTATCTCTCAAGTCAAGCCAGTAACCAACTTTCAAAATACTTATAATTCAATTATTTAACCTAAGTAACAACTATCTCAAACATCCATTAGATTATGTACACGAAATTCTTATACAGTGAATTGAATAAGAGATCATACTTTAGACACAATCATACTATAAGCGGTAGGGAGTGAAGTAAACAGTACATACTTAATTAGAAATAACTAAGGAATAGTAAAGATGGTTTATAGGTCCATGGGAAGCTGACGATGAGGTGAGCATAGAGATACAACATTACAGTTATCTACTAATTACATGATAAAAACAATAATAATCCAAAAGATGGTTCCAATATATCTTATCCTTATCCCATCTAACAACAATAACATAAGTATTGTGGTGTGGTCTACTTATATCCATATAAGTAGTATATGGTGTGGGTCAGACATTGAATGTATTTTGGCAGAAGACCGATGAGCAAAGAACTGAAATGAAGCGCAATCGTTTGGAAAATGCATGAGCAATGGAATAAGAGAAGAAACAGTGAAGATTGAAACAATTGGTTGTTAATTTGCAAATTGACTGTTCATTGTTTGGTAATCAGAATTTATTGAGATAGTCTGTAATCTTTGCTTAAATACATTCGATTGTCCCCAACTAGTGTTATGTTCACTACATTTGGTGTCGCTGCCAACCAGGAGGAGGAAGGGTGCTGTTCTGCGGACGCCGCTGCGGGTCAGGAGTTGAGGTGCTAGTTTGGGCAGCCTGGTGCGGAGAGGTGTCGTCGAGTGGAGTGTTCTGGCGGGGCGGCATTGGCTGTAGCGGGTGCTGTCGACGGAGAGGAGCAGTGGGACGTGCGGCTGCTGGGCGGACATCGGATGTAGATGGCTCAGCAGGCCGGTGGAGTACGGGTGTTGAACGTCCCAGGTGCCGGGTGGATGCGGATGTTGGTGCGCCGGCAGGTCGACGGAGCTATGGAGGTCAGCGCGCCGCAGACTCGACATTCTGACGGAGAGTTTGGCACAGACTGCAGTGAAAGAAGATAGTGGCGTGGCGAGCAGAACCACCGCATGGTCGAATGCTTTAAAGGGGGGACGAGTGTGGTGTGGTCTACTTATATCCATATAAGTAGTATATGGTGTGGGTCAGACATTGAATGTATTTTGGCAGAAGACCGATGAGCAAAGAACTGAAATGAAGCGCAATCGTTTGGAAAATGCATGAGCAATGGAATAAGAGAAGAAACAGTGAAGATTGAAACAAATTGTTGTTAATTTGCAAATTGACTGTTCATTGTTTGGTAATCAGAATTTATTGAGATAGTCTGTAATCTTTGCTTAAATACATTCGATTGTCCCCAACGAGTCGTGTTCTGTTCACAACAGTATCAGAAAAGAATTTGGAAAATATGCTTAAACAATGAACTAGAATAATGAAGTATATGCTATAAAGAAAGAATAAATTAGGATCATTGAAACTGATTTAAAAATTCGATCAGTTAGTTAGATGCAAATTAGAATTTATAACATTTGTGCTCCAGTTTAAGTTCCCATACCGAATCACTAGAGCTAGATGACATTATTAAGACATATCACAGAATAGTAGAAGGAATAACAATATGAGTAGAAGTAGGAAAGATTATTTGAGAATAAAGGATGAACTCTTGGAATAAAAAGTATGGAATATTGTTATGCCGCGATAAGGATAATGAATGGTAACTTTGGGATCTACTTATGAACCGTTACTATGCCTATATTTTCACTGTACAATTGTTAACTAACTAAGCTATTCGTATTCGTGTCCCTCTTATTATAAGCTTTATTATGACCTATAGACTATTATTATACGATTTGCCATTCCTCAGTTATACCCAATCTATTAATTGCTGTTCCCCTTATTCACATCCACATTTGACCGAACCTTGTACAAATGTTATTTTTTATTTTATAGTACGATGTGGCCACTTTGATTGGTATATAAACACAGTATGTTTGAAATAAAATGATTCATGCCGCAGAGGCTGTTATTGGTGCTCTGGATTTAACTGGCTGGGCTAGGCAGAAAGCAGGACCGATAAGTACTCTAGACTTCTCGTACGGGTTTCGTGTGTCATTGATCCGATCGATAAATCACTGTTCTCTAATTGGAGGTATTATAACGTTATACATTAATAGGGCATCCAGGCAATCACAAGTTATAACAGATAATTTTAAACTTCAAGGCCTTAGATATGACGAAGAAAAATGAATGAATCTAAGCCAATGTGATTGATTCTGTGTTATGTAGTTCAATGTTTTCAACCGCCAATCAAAATAATCTCATGGACTTAAACCAAATTGTCTGTATCTAATAAGATAGCTCAATTCACCAGCTAGTGACTCTATGAACTGGTACCTTGTTTTTATCTTTCCTAACCCACTCTTTCCGTCTTGGAAAGGTACATTCATCGTACTTAAGTACATAAGTTGCTGATTTTTACTGAAGCGTTCTTTAGTCAACATATCTGGGATGGAAAGACGTCAGTCAGTCAGTTAGTCACAACGTAGAACTTCGTACGTACGTACGTCAGTTCGAGTTGCCATACCACATAGCATAGAGATGCAGTTGTCGATTCAAATCATATAGTGGTAGAAGTAGTAAGAGTATAAGCATTATGTGAAAGATTAGGGTTTGAAGATGTTATTGAACGAGTATAATCCAATTAAATAAATTTGGAAAGAGAAAAAAGTAAGAGACATGAAGAATTTAGAGGATTAGAATTTGGTAGAACACAAAGAGTGGATGCACCTTTGCCATTTCAAACGATTTTGAGCCATGCCATTCAAGGTCTCTAACCATCGATTGTTATCATCTCGCGAATCCCAACCAGGTAGCCTACACCTACCAACATGGCTCAGTCCAGTTGTCAGTGATTTCATGGATTTGTGCCATGTATTGGTGTGGCCACCCTGGAAAGACGTAGAGGAACAAGTTTCTCAGCCAATATAATCCAACTAGATTATCATGTTACTTAACTTCCACTATTACGGATTATAGCTATTTTTATAATCTTTGACTATTACACTCTATTCCTACAAAAATAGATTCAAATATGTAAAATCTGAATGATTCATAAGTAAACGGATTAATTCATTGTAATAGTCACTTGGTCACACTATTTATGGACAAACGTTTGGTAAAGCACATATCGAAAATCGTGGAGCATTGGATAATTGTTTCATCTTAAGATGAAACTTCTCAGGATTACATCAAAACAGTCACTTCAGGCATCTAGACAAAGTGCCCCAGCAACTGAGTTATCTTTAGAATACTAACTTAACATTAAAATGATTCATATTTCTAACTTCAGTCAAACCATATTAATAATAATCTTTATATAAAGTGGATGGAATGTGGCTGGCAGTGGATGTACCTACACTTCAGAGTTGAAGTAGGAGTGAATTGAAAGGTACTAGGTTTAGATTCCGGTGTGAACATTAACTCAGATGCTCGTAAAACCGTCTGACGAGTTCCAAGCAAGACGAAAAGTGCGTTTTCGACTCCACTGGCAGTTATTTTCTATCTATTCTTTATAAACTTGTAAAATAATGGCTATATTGAGGCGATTCGCCTACGATGTATATATGTCATATAAGACTAATCGAAATTCATAATCGTACCCCTCTTATTATAAGCTTCATTATGACCTATAGACTATTATTTAAACGATTTACCATTCCTCAGTTATCGCCAGTCTATTGATTACTGCCCCTCCTATTCACAGCCACATTTGGCTAAATCTTGTACACATGCTATTTTCTATTTTATGGTACGATATGGTCAGTTTGATTGGTATATAAACTCAGTGTGTTTGAGAATAATGATTCATATTGCAGAAGCTGTTATTGTTGTTCTTGGACATAAATGGCTCGGTTAGGCAGAAAGCTTTTACGGTTTTTCGTGTACCATTGCTCTGATAAATAATTCTCTCCTCTCTGATTGGCGGGGATCATCACGTCATATATTAAACAGGGCCCGCACTCGACATAACAACTTTCAAACCTGGATATAGTTTATATGTGCATTGCACTATAGTCATCTTTCACGAATCCAAAAGTAGGAATAAAATATACAAACCATCTTGACAGTACTCATTTACAAGATCTATAACAGTTTATAAACATTTTAGACGAGCACATAAGTAATGAATCTGTAGTGACCTCCTTTTCTCGACGAGAACGCGATTGGTATAATAGAAACAATTATTATGATAACCAATTGTACCAGTGATTGTTTTACTGTACTCATTGTTGCTTAACCGTATCAAAGTCACTTATCATTCCGCTATCCATTTTGTTGTTGTTTCGAACTTTCTTACGCTCTGCCCTTATTGCCTGTACTCGTTGGCATGTCTCGGTATTCTTTCGATACCACAAGATTGCCAATCTATATATCTTATCTGGACCAGTTACAGTCTTCTGATTTACGAGCTATCAAAGGAACCAAGTCAATTTTGGGCGCGTAATCTTATTGTAGTGTGGATCAAAGTCAATGAACACTCGACGCCATCTACAAACCCTTATAGCAATGAATGTACATTTGGAAACGCTGTCGCTCAAATATTTGAGCGGGCTCCTCTTATCAACATATTGTTCTAAAATCATTGATTGCTATTAATAATATCCATCTCCTATTTAACAATCAACTCGTCTTCATCTTGAAGAATATTCAATCAATTAATCAACCAACCAACCAATAGATCAATCAGTCAATACAACCACTTAAATATAAACGTACTTCTTTAGATGTATTCATAGGATAAGGATTTTGTACAATCAGTTGACCATTTTCTAAATCTTCTAATTCACATGATTGATTCACTTTATTATCTGTTATACTTTGATCTGAAATTGGATCATCTACAAAATCCACCTAATTTTAAAACAAATAATTAGTAAAATATGAAGACTTAACAAATCGTGATATAGTTGAAATCATGAGTCACTTAAAGCTAGACAACCGTGGAAAACCTGGAAGCACTGGATGGCCGTTTCGTCCTACTGTGGGACTCCCCAGAGCAGTGCGCATCCACGATCCCGATTCAATATAATGCAAAATATCGATCGTTTTGAAGAAGATAAGTTATTCATTGTAAAGGTATACAATTTACATTGCTTGCATGTGTCAGTCTGTCAGCTACATCGTTCGAAGTTGTCATACCTCATTAGCACAACAGGATGAACACCGAATTCTTAGAAGCAATCACTTCAGTTGCAGCAATATATATATATATATATATATATATATATATATATATACAGTGAAAAGATGAATGGGGATAATCGAATACATTTAAGTACAAACGACAAACTATCTCACTAAAATCTGATAACTGTACTTACTTACTCACTTACTTACTGACGCCTATTATCCCCAATGGAGCATGGGCCGCAGACCCACATTCGCCAACCTACTCTGTCCTGGGCCTTTCTTTCTAGTCCTATACAATTTTTGTCCATTCTCCTCATGTCTGTCTCCACTTCTCGGCGTAGTATGTTCTTTGGTCTTCCGTTTCTCCTTTGGCCTTCAGGATTCCATGTGAGAGCTTGTCTTGTGATGCAGTTGGCTGCTTTCATCAAAGTATGTCCTATCCACTTCCAGCGCTTCTTCCTGATTTCTTCCTGCTCTGGAATCTGGTTTGTTCCCTCCCACAGTAGAATGTTGCTTATAGTGTCTGGTCAACGGATCCGAAGTATCTTGCGTAGACAACTGTTAATCAACACCTGTATCTTCTGGATGATGGCTTTTGTAGTTCTCCACGTCTCCGCCCCATACAGTAGATCTGTGTTGACATTTGTATTGAAAATTCTGATCTTTGATAACCATACAGTAAACAGTTAATTTGTAAAATACCAATCAATTGTCTCAATCTTGACTGTTCCTTTTGCAAATATCAGTCCATCTTCTCTGATTTTATTGTTCATGCATTTTCATACTGATTACGCTTCGTTCCTGTTCTTACCTTATCGATCTTCTGCCAAAATACATTCTATGACTGACCACCACCATATACTACTTATGTGGATATAAGTAACCCACACCACATTACGAGTGTTTATCTTGAAATGGTGGAGAAAATTTGTAGCCCAGGTGAATAATTTTGATGAAGTTTTGCTTAGAAGAACTATGAAAGCTCCACGAACAAACCATTCAGCTTAGAGAACTTAACTCTTTCAAAAAGTCTTTGTCTTATTTATTAAGTTATTTATGTTAAGAAAATGTAACGAATAATGAAAAATAAAAGTATTTTGAGGAGGGGGTTTTGTGGAGATTTTAGTAGTTTTATATAGATCATGAGTCAATTGAAGATAGACCAACATGGAGAAGCTGGATGCACTGGATGGCCATTTCGTCCTATTTTGGGACTCCTCAGTAGTGCGCATTCGAATCTCACGAGGCGGGATTATGAATGCGCACTGCTGAGGAGTACCACAATAAAACGAAACGGCCTACCTTATCAACAGAAATGCAATCAAGAAAACAAAAAAAAAGCCAAAAGTAAATGAGATTACCTTTTCAAATAATTTCTCATCAGATTTATTAATGATTCGCGGATGTTTTAATCGATAAGTTGCCATACGATTATTAAATGAACATTTTGAATGATCTGTAATGTTTAAATCAACTGATACTTTGATTGTTTTATCTTCATGATTATGATCATTATTATATTGATTGATTGGATGTAAACAATCAGCTGTTAAATTAACATTTGGTCCACCTGGTCCACTTGGACCAGGTAAAGAAGGTTTATGAAGATTAGACAATAATAATGATGATGAGGATGAGGATGGGGTGTTTGCAGTCGTTGCTATAGGAGTAATAGCTGTTGTCGGCTGTGATGCTGATATTGTTGTTACGTTAGTTTCCTTTCCTTGTAAATCAAATTGCCAAGCATCTATAATTTAAACATAAAGAATGATACATATAAACTAACTGGCTCTCAAACAGTGTATTATGTCCTACAGTCCGTTAGATATCCCTTGATAAAATTGTCAGTCAGAATGCCAATTTTCACGACCTTGTCCCTGTGCTAAATCAACAATGTGTAAACTAGCACTAGCAGCCCTGAGTCAACTCTGAGTCCTTAATGATCCACCTTATATTAACTTCTTGCCTAGACCAGACCATTCAGTTGAGAATACAAATATCAGCCTCCGCTGTATGGATCATATAGTTAAGACATACTTGGTTTATATACAAGTAGAGTAGACTGCATCAAACCATAAAAAGGAAAATAATAATGATACAAGATCAAGCCAAAAGTGACTATGAGTATGGGATAATGTAACTTATAGATTGGGAATACATTAAAAATAGTAAATCGTATGATAGTAGTCAATAGGTAATACTGGCTGGAACAATCATTCCTCAAGGTCCTATCATGCCAGACAGGTAGTTTGAAGAGCGGTAAGACTAAAAGCAGCAAACCCAAGGTCCGAAGGCTAAGTCGTACTGCTGACTGTACATAGATGTGACAGTAGTAAGGTGTTTCCTTCAGACAACCAGCATAAGAGCAATGCTGCCTTCCCACAAGGAGGGGTGGGGTTAGAAAAGATCGACCCTAAAAGTGTACACCTCGCCTTATCCCACAGATATCCGTAGGGTAAGGTAGATCTATATCAGTGATATAGATATAATCTAGTTTCCATTTATTTTGAACTCCTCATCTTTTGTACCATAATCATAGTGAATACATGTTCATAATGAATAAATAAAAAAATCAACTTACTTTTTATAGGACTTCCTAAACCATTAAGACGATTTTGAAGATCCGTTTTTGTTGTGATTATTGTTTTCAATTGTGAATTATCATTCAATGTTTGATTATCAGAAGAACCTTTTAATTAATTTTAATGAAGAAATGTATGTTAACCAGTATAGTACTTTTTTTGTAATGAACTGAAGTTGAATGATTGAATTCATGAGTCAATTAAAGCTAGACCACCATGAGGAATCTAGAGGCACTAGACGACCGTTTCGTCTTAGCATGGGATTCCTCAGCAGTGTCATCCACGAATACGTTCGCGGGATTCGACCCAGGACATTCGGTCTCGCGCGTAAACGCTGACCAGTCCCATACTAGGATGAAACGGTCGTCCAGTGCTTTCAGATTTTCCATAGTAGTTTAGCTTTAACTGACTCATAAATTCAAGTAATTAATTACTACAATCTCCGAAAAAACCCCTTTCTGATAAATATCAATACTTAATGATAAATGTAACGATTCGTTCAACAAATTATCTACACATTTAACATTGAATGTGTATAAAAGATGTTTGAAGCCTACTTCTGAATGGCTCTGTACAATTCGCTGTTCGAGTAAGACATTGATAATCCAAGAGGCCATTGATCTTTCTCATATTGGCAAAAAAAGAAATTAATGGTACTTGTCATTTTTGTAATAGAGGATTGAATACAGACAATGGAGACTGTGTTAGTGTCGTGAGTGAAACCACAGGAGAAGTAGCAATTAATCCAACTGTAAAATTTAGGAAGTCTCTAACGAAACATATGAATAACGAAATACGGAAGAATCATAGTCCACTCGTTGATGATGATGTTCCTAAAGTCATTTTATATGATGATCACAATAGGACAACGAGTTATGTGCCGAAAATTTCAAATGAAAGGAAATGAAAGTCAGTGCACAAGGAAATGAAGGAATTAAGAGACTCTTGCAAACCTTTCGCCATCCTTGATCGATATCATATTTTGAGTTTCCATTCAGAGCTACATAATACTTCGCCAAAGCTCCACAGTCTAACTATGAACACACTTACACACAAAAATTCAGATTGTTTCCAACATTATTGTGAAGGATTTGATTGAATGAAGTGACCTAGATCCTGAAACCAGACATAGGAATGGTTTAGAAAAAGGTTGGAATATTTACACATAACATTCTGCTGGATAACTCAATAGGATTTCATTCGGAAAATCTGGCAAGAACAGATACAAGTATGGAGGGAAATGCCGAACTCCTACAATGAAGACTCTCTAAGGAGATTCTAGGGTAGGAAGCACAAGAATTCGATTTGCTAACCGGTAACTGAGATAATATTCATATTTGGATAAGACCTGACACATCACTAGGAATAAAATGAGGCAGCAGATGACTCTAGATCAACAGGCAACCCATAAAAAATGATGACGAAAATATTTTTTGAGGCTTCATGGGTAGTCAGGTATTGGCAATACCTGCTGCTTATTAATGGGTTTCCAGCAATGGTGGTTTGTATATGCATCCTACATTTATTGAGAAGACAGTTGTCCTGCTACGAATTCAGAATCTCGAAGTAGGTAAGTTCAATGGTCCTGATGATATTCATCCTTGAATTATAAAAGCTCTAGTGAACATAATTGAAGGAGTACTAGCAATACCGTTTAATATTATCTTTGAAGCAGTTAAAACTTCCAAGAGACTGAAAGGAAGTAACAATCTGTCAAGTCTAAAAAACTATGAGTAAACATTCGATAAATAAAAAAAACCCACCCAGTCACCATTATAAGTAATATGGTCAGGTAAATCGAAAGTATTTTTCGGGTTACCACTCTGCGTTACTTAATAGAGAATAATCATCCATTGATGCAATAACATAGTTTCAGAACAGACCTTTCATGTTCGATTCATCATTTCATCGAAAAAACTGATTGGACTGCAGAGAAATATAGGAGTATTCCAGGGGATGTGATTTTCACTGAACTAAGTAAACCCTTCGTTAAGGTCTGTGATCCAAGTCTTAGATTTCAACTTCGAAGTTACGGAATTATTTGTAAGCTCACGAATCGACTTTCACAGTGTTAGGTGGAAACGAGTGAGAGTAAATGAAGCCGTATCATATTTAGAATCTGAGGACGATCCCAGGATCTCTTCTTTTTTTACTTTAAGTAGATGATCTACCAAGTACCACACAGTCATCTGTTCTACTGTTTGCTGATGACATTAAAATATGAAGACCCACATAAATTGAGACTGATAAGATAATGATTACGATTAGACTTGAAAGCACTAGTTCAGTGAATAAATCAGTAGTCACTAGAAATAAATTCTACCAAGAGTATAATAGTGCAGATAAGTTAACAAAATGATTTACATATATACACAATAAATGGAATTCCATTATTCAAGTTTATTGATGTCTTAACCGATTTCCATTATCTTAACGTAGGTTACCAAGTAGTCTGATATTAGCTAACCGTTTGCTGAATGTCGATGTTGGTGGTGATATGTTTTATCATTATCTTCGATCTAGGACTGGTCATCTGAGGTTAAAAAAGTCGAGATCAAATAATCTTCTTCTAGAGTTCATTCCTCACATCTAGTGGTGAATCACTAGAGTTTTCAGCCGTAACAAGTAATATCAACACGTATTAGTACACTCATAGTGAGATTGAATCTCCACAGTAATACACATCGAAGGGATTAACATAAGTCATTTGACCTCCCATTCATACATCTGAAGATCGAAAACAGATATGACTTACAACTACTTGTTACTTTTGATTTTAATCGGTTGTGGCTGACTCCTGTCCTATGTATTCATTTCGATTGTCATTTCCCTCGACACGAACTTTGACATCACAGATGTCCGAAGGTGGCATATCCATACTCAATACTCCCTTGGGTATTCGAGTACATACCGGTCGTGTCACGTAAAACGCCGCCTGGGTAGTAGTCTGAATTAAGTTTTGACAGCCAATCTCGCTTTACGCGCTCAGCACAGACCGTCTCATTCCGACGGCACACCTCCCCCTCACGAGAATTAATCTCGATCGCCGGGTGTGTGGTGCGACCATCAGAGCCTTGTCTGTTAGCCTGCACTCCTGTTAGTGGAGCCTCTCATCACGAGAGTTTGCTGCTGCATGACTCAGACCTTCCCGTAAGGCTAACACGAGTGACCAATTATGCACCCTTCAGATAACCTCACAGTGGCTCTCCCCCAGGCGACGACAACGTGCACTTGGTATCACTGTCCAAACTAAAACTTCACATAAACAGTATAAAAGTATAATTTGCATGATGTTTTCAAACATCTAACTGAGGATATCCTGGTTGATCCTGGGTTAAGAGACAAGAATTAAAAACCAACCTTTACAATTATTTCTTCACAACCAACTTTACTTCTTCTGAACTTCTGTATTTTAAATTCACACCATTTAAGTAGTATATACGGTATTTACATAGTGAGTTAGTTTACTTCCAACCAGACATACCATCAGTTGATATTGAAATTGAACAACAGACTTCCATAAACGAAATAATACTATAAACATTTATTCTTTTTGCTTGCGATGAAGAAAGGAATTCATGATTAATCGCTACCATGATTGTTAATATGACTATATATACTACTTAAGTAGTGTTAACTTGGTTCATCTGTGCCAAGCACGTAAAGTGAGACGGGCTGTCAAAACTTAATTCAGACTGCTACCTAAGAGGCGTTCTACGTGACGCAAACGGTATATAGTTGGATATTAAAGACGACTAGTATGCTTCGAATATTTTGCTTTCAATGATAACAGTCATTCTATCTCATGAATACTGTTCGACTGAAATGATCTCTATCGACTTCCAATTTCCCAAATATTCACTGAAATTGTCAAAAACGTCAATCTACGGAATCCTACATAGAGGCCATCATTGTTTAATCAGGAGATATTATATCCAACGTTCGCAACCAACAAAAAAGTGCTTATAAAACTCCATTTCTAGCAAGTATCAAGTACATGAAATATTTCTCTTTTTCATTTATATGTCGATTCATACAACACAACAATCAATGACCAAATAAAATATTTCTCGAATTATGTTCTGAATAGTATTATTATTACTACCGCCTGTTCTTATTCTTAATCACTAACATACACACACTGTTCTTAATCAGAAATATTCTCCCGAATTATTACATTTTATACGAATATTCGTCAGTATTAGAACGAACAGTTTGACAAATTGGGCGCCGAGTATAGAGAAGATATTATATGTGACTTTACTAAAGTCAACATCTGAATATGATTGGTTAAGTACAGTAGCAATTTGATTTGAATATTAAACACTATATGTTTCTTTAATAATTTTGATTTTATCAATTGTGGGGATTTGTCGAGATTGTAGTACATAAATGTAGTATTCACGAGTCAATCTAAGCTACAATCTACACAAATCCCCTAACTTCAAGATGGATTTCCTGGAGTTCTAGTAAGGAGTTGTGACTAGTGGAGTCCAATCCGTGTCAGGTGTGAGACAGTTATCCACCTCAGACAATAGATGAAGGGTTGAGTAAGACCATTGATTGGTCGAAGTTAGGCATTAACACCGTTGGATACCAGCGTAATGTTTTACAGGTTAGGTGTTCGAGCGGGAGGCCGAAGGTCCCTGATTCGAATCCCACATGCGGGATCATGAATGCGCACTGCTAAGGAGTTCCATATTGAGACGAAAAGGTCGCCCAGTGCTTCCTTGTTTTCAATGGTGATCTAGCTCAGATTGACTCGTGAACCCAATTTTGATTTTGATTATTACCATGAAGAAGTTCAGATAAGTTCAACGAAAGAAACATTGGAATTATTTAAATCCCAATCGCGGAGATTATTTCAACTATAATTTCCACATATAATGTTGTTGTGACGTGCATTGTTCGATATCTGATACTGATACACAGTATGCTACATTCTAACCCCCCAACTGACTACTTCATCTAGAACACCAGAGTGAGAGAGAAAGTGTATTGGACTATGGAATAAAATGCACAAATACTCATATACCAGTCTATCCTTAGGAAATTGACCCAATGATCCAATAAAATGCATATGACCTTTAGGTCATTGATTAACCTTCTCATTTGACCACTTCTGATTAGCTCAACATATCAAATGTCTTATTCGATTTGATGGTCATGGTATAAATTAACAATTGTACATGTCTTCTCGTTGTATTCTGTCTACTTCCGACTATCAGCATATATATCTAAGGCATTTGTATGGTTATGTCTTTTTTTCAATATTTGCAGTTAATTTTTTTTAACTTTTTAAAATCAATTTCTAAGATAGAAATGTGGGAACATCGATCTTTTGCGTTAAACTGAAATTTCTGGTTAGCTTTTAACACATTTCAGTAGATATGTAAAGGATGGATAGCAAATGGAAATAGTTGTACAAGACTGAGTTCCATGGAGAATTCTGGTGAGAGGTCTATGCTTCACCGCCAGGGTTAACAAGCGTAAGTTAAGCTAAAATGTAAGGATGAAGTAGATACACTTTTCAAACGACCTTGATAACTTGTTGACTTCATTCAGTTAATCATCAGATGTCAGAAAATTTGAGTAAATGATTCATAATGTTAAGACAACGATTTAAGCATTAGAATTAAGATTCAGAGTTAAGGATTTGGATTATTTCTTTTATTCATTTATTTATTTAAACACATAAATATTGGTACAAAGGGGCACCAGATATATATGCGCTGCACAAATCTCATTTGATTTGTGTGAGGCCTATTATACTGCCTGGGTGCCCAATCTGAAACAGGTGATTTTGTTAGAGGGCCACACACGGAGCCTCTGACCTAAAGGTGTGATCCACAAGGCAGTGGATAATCGTGAGGAGATGCAGTCCCATGGTAGCCGGTGACGAACGATTGGTTCAGATGCCATTCGTTCCCTCAGGATACTGGAGCCCATGTGCACCATTGGTTTGGAATGAGGGTTTTCCAACTCCGTGTTTACCAAACCAGTTAAAGCTCCGGACATTCGCTTTTCGTCCTCTCAACTTCGTAAACAACACCCATGGTACGAGAAGGCAATGAGTAGGACTTCACTGTCAGAGGCTATATACGCGTGGCCACATGAGAGCATTTGGAGAAGGAGAGCAGACTCTCCCCACTCTCAGCCGTACCAAGGCATATGGGGGGTGGATAATTTCTTACTATTAGTCTATATATATTCTAATCTTAAATCCTATACTATTAGTGTTGATCCAAAGTTAAAACCCCAAAATTTGATGTCAAGTCCTTACTCTTACCTTAAACTTTTCATCCAAATCTTAAATTATAACTCGAATCCCAAACTCTTGATCTTATTCTTAACTGTAACTTCAATTCTCTTATAAACCTTTAATCAATAAAACTAACTAGTCACCTAACTCCGCCTGTAACCCCTCTGGGGGCTACTGCCTGTCCCAAGCCCGGATAAAGGAGGAGGGTTAGGCATGGGGTTAGCGACCCTATCCCATAGAAAACCAAATCGCTAAAAAACGCTAACCACAAAAAAGTATTCAAAGTAACTAGTCCATCTATGTTCAATAGACAACATTCGATTATGATAGAAAGGATCGTCAGTTTCAAATGATTTAAATGAACTTAGCAACAACAACAAAAGAGGAATACCTGTTACCATTGGCACTTCATTATGATTTGGTAAATTAGTTAATTCCATTGATGAACCACTAGTTTCTAAAGTACGTTGAGCTAATTTCTTTAAAATTGTATAATCCATAAATTGATATTTTGTCATTGAATGTTTCAATGGATCATCAATCTTCTCTTGATGTAAAAGATAATTTTTCAAATTTGTATCATGTTTATAATTAGATGAAAATTTACTCCATTTACTACGAGTATCCGTTGATTTGGCATTTAATCTACGTAGAATATTATCTTTTCTTTTACGTATTGCATTACTTTTAAGAAAAGAAAGAAATAAAGAAGGGATGTTAATGTTCACTTGGAGGACAACGAACGTTCATCATTAAATTATTCAGATTAAGGTATCCAACACTACCAAATCCAGCCAATCTCCATCATTTCAATACTACAACTTACAAAGAGACCATCACCGACTTTGATAAGTTGCGATGGATCGGATCAAAGTAGGTTGAAACAAAAGATTGGGGACAGTTAGAAAAAAACAAGTCATCAATCTATGAATTTACTGATTCTTGGTTTTCTTAGATGGCTTAAATGACTTGAAACCGGTTTTCGTATTGCAAATTAATTCATTCTTTACCTATCTCATAGCAAGGGCAGCATTTCTACAATTGAAGAACATATGGAACCCCAAACAACTGTCAACAAATTTCAAAGTGAGAATCTTCAATACAAACGTCAAGACAGTCCTACTGTACGGAACTGAAACGTGGAGAACTACTACATCCATCCTCAAGAAAGTACAAGTATTTATGAACAATTGTCTACGCAAAATACTCAACATTCACTGGCCGGATACTATCAGTAACAGCATTTTATGGTAGACGGAAAACCAGCTTCCAGCTGAAGAGGAAATTAGGAAAAGACGTTTCAAGTGGATCGGACTTACATTAAGGAAATCACCAAACTGCATTATGAGGCAAGCCCTAACTTGGAATCCGGAAGGGAAGAGGAAAAGAAGAAGGACAAAGAACACATTACGCCGGGAGATTGAAGCAGATATGAAAAGGATGAATAACAACTGGAAAGGATTTCCCACGACAGAGTTGGATGGAGAATGCTGGTGGGCGGCCTATGCTCCTCGACAAGAGGTAACAGGCGTAAGTAAACAAGTAAGTAAGTAAGTTACCTATCTCAAAATTTCCAGTTTTAGGATCATCCTATACTTCAAATCCCATGTCTTCATTACTTCAGCTCAAAGCTATATTCTAGATTTATTATAGATATTTCAAGAGATAGACTTTAAGTATAAACATGATCATATTGTTCTAAAGGTATTACGCAAATACATCTCAACTCTGACAAACTTCGTCTTCTCAAAGATCCTTCCTGAAGATTAAGCCCAGTTGCAATCTGGCTCTCATCACAGATTGAATTCAACCGGAGAAATCAAAGGGAAGAAATAGGAACTGAAAGTGTATTTCGTCCATGTCATTAACACACCTTCAAACCTATAAGGGATGAAAACTCGTGTTGGTTACTTCATCCCTATCCCTTTTTACGCATACAAACTATACTACTTATTAATATACAGTAACTTATCTGATTTTTGATCATTTGTTCCAAAACATGTGCCTCGAATCGCTACCCCGTTCTCTGATAATTTTATATATCTATAGCAATCTGTCACTTTGAATTCATTTGTTGTTATATTTTTCCGCAGGTGTTACATACAGAACTATTTTAGGGAACGCTCCCTCTTTTATTGTACATCGAAACATATATTAGCCTTTTAATACACCTAAATGACAGCTGAGAAATCCATACAAGTGTTGATTCCTACTTTACAGAAATTTAGCGTGCGAGGCTGAAAGTTATAGGTTAGATTCCCGCGCACGGTATCGTGGATGCACACCGTTGAGGAGTCCCATACCACGACGAAACATCAGTCTAGTGTCTCCAGGTTTTCACTGGTGGTCCAAATTGTATTGTTTCATGATCGCAATGAAAACGTACCAGTTTGAATGCCTTCTATCATTAATAAAACTTTTCAGTTGACATTACTTTTTAAATAATCAAAATCATCAGTTTGAAAGTGAGATTAGATGTAAGAACTAACCATTTATGATGTATATTTGAAGAATGAACAGAACTACAATTGGAATTTGGATCATCTTCTGTAATTGCTGAACTTTCTTCTTCTTCTCCTTCACCATTACCATCATCCATATTTTGATTGAATTCTAATGAATTATCATTATAATGATCAACTTTTGTTAAAGTAGGCATTTCATTTAATTTAGCTAAAACCATACTTAAACTTGGCGCTTCTAGAGGTTGTGGCTCTTTGATAATAATATCAGATGGTTTTAATTCACTAAAATTTGAGGAAAAAAAATACCAAGGACTTAATCATTAAAATCTCTCAACTATGAAAATACTAAATTTTCCACAAAACTCCCTCTGATCTATAACCATATGCTCACTAGTGACTGACTTCAAGAGATATAATCTTGAGTTCTAGTGGGAAGCAGTGACCAGTGGAGTTCTACCAAGTCTGTTGTAGAGATATCAACTCACTGAAGACAATTGATGAACGGTTGCTCAAAATTGTGAATTGGTTGAAGTTAAACATTACTACTGTCGGACATCGGTCAGCTCAGTGGTCTAGTGATTAAGCGCTCGCTCGTGAGACTGGTAGGTCCTGAGTTCGAATCCCGCGAGTGCGGGATCGTGGATGCGCACTGCTGAGGAATTCCATAGTAGAACGAAATGGCCGTCCAGTGCTCCCAGGTTTTTCATGGTGGTCTAGCTTCAATTGACTAATGATTTCAACTTTGAAATACACTGAAATCTCTATCAGTTTTGTGATTACCTATATTATTAGGGTTTACTATAATTAGTAAGTTCAGGAATTACCCGATCAAATCACAGATCCAAACGACTATTCATTACACCGAGTCTGACCTTAACGAGAATGTCTCTACCTTACTAACAATGGATGACCAGTATGATTTTTTTCATTATCAATTGTTAGGGATGTTAGATCCTTAAAACTCACTTGGTAAATGTCTTATGTGCGGACGGTCCACAGGCGAAGTTTAGGAAGCTTTAAGAAGACCAGAAGGATCCCAACATATACCATCCAATCAGCTTTTGGAAGAATATTCTAGAATCACTATGTGTAGTTTCCCTATAGGAAAATGCTGATAACTCCCTGCGTGCGGATTGGATAACTAGAATGATTATTTCGTTTCTATTAAAAACTATAAATACCTGACAGTTTTGTACCATAATTAACACTGTTCTGGAATAACATTCCTTCTACTTGTCTTCTGTCTTCTGATTTTGCGACTTGGAAGGGTTCTAACGTTCTAGTGCTCAAGTATTACGCGACATACTGAGAATCTAAGTTCAAGATATAACACCTTGATTTTGTAATTTTACTTTAAAAATTTGAATTCCTTGTTTTCGCGGAAAAAGTGCTCATTTTCACCTTCATATCATATTTCCCACTTGGAAGGATCTTAGGCGCTATTGGCTCGTTGTATCTTTTAGTATGCTATTTTGTAACTCGTCCCAAAGAAAATTTTATGCTGTTGTGATCGCTTGTGCTTCTGCCTGCTTGCGTAATATATTTTCTCACTTCGAACTTGGACATTTCACTCTAGTTAGCGGATCTGAGACGTGTCGGAATAGCTAGCTTATTGGTCTTTGGTCACAGAGTCTTTGTTCGTTCTCCGATTAGGAAACTCGTAATCGCTTCAAATATAACAAAATTAACGACGATGCTGGTGTAAACATGGATCCCTTAAAAGTGAAATTATTGCTTGAGCAGAAGCTGAAACTTATCCAGATGTTAACAGATGCAAAAATCACGCCTAACACTCAAACAAGCACATCTAATTCTGTAACTACTGCACCTTTATTTGGTGGTCTAGCGATAAGTATCTCTGAGTTTCATTACGATCCTGAATCCAATGTCACATTTGATATGTGGTTTCGACGTTATGAAGACTTATTTGAATTTGGTTTTGCGGATGGACTCGGTTACCATTAAAAAGATGGTTGTTCTTTCATCTAACAAACTAGTCACGGGAATTTGACAATTTCAAAATGTACACTAATCTTTACAAAGTGTATTTAGTTATATAAAGTAACTGCTTTCCATTTTTAAACTAACCTTGGATTGACATACTTGTATTCTATCGGTTTCTGATCCAATTTACATTGTGGCGTACATAATCTCTCAAACTGTTCAAGCTTCAATGGAAATGAAAAGTTCATTACAATTAGCCTGTTTCTGAAAAAACCCATTTTCCATATTGTGATATTCATTATTATCCCTTGAACACTATCCCTTAGATAATGTATATTGTTGTATTTCTCCTGCAATTGTCAATCATTATCATCATACTTGAAAGCATGAGTCAGTTGAAGCTAGACTACCAAGGAAAACCTGGAAGCACTGGACGGTCGTTTCGTTCTATTGTGAGACCAGTAGGTCCTGGGTTCGAATCTCGTGAGGCGAGGTCGTGGATGCGCTCTGCTGAGGAGTCCACAATAAGACGAAACGACCATCCAGTGCTTCCAGGTTTTCCATGGTGGTCTAGCTTCAATTGACTCACGCTTTCAACTATGAAAATACTAAATCTGCACAAAACCCCTTTCTGATAAGAAAATCTGTTTATTTTCACTGTCACATCCAAAAGGTACGCATTAGTTTTTATCCTTAATTAAACTGGTTATTAACATTTACATAAACGTCTACTACCCAGACTTTATATGACCTTGATGTGGCTCGTCTTTATCCAACAATCAATCAATGAGATTGCACTCTTGTCATTAAAGATGACTACTCGTCCTTATTTCCTGTCTCCACTTTCTATTACTGTATATTCTGCTCTCATCTTTTGACTGACTTTATTCACTACATAGGTTGTACTAATTACATCAGTTTACATTTCAAAATGAATTTCTATTTATCTTAACTGTCGTTATGTGATACAAAATTCCTGGAGATTACAAGTAGTCACCAAATGATATCAAACAGTTCAGAGGAGATCCTCTTTCCCTTTTGTTAACATTCAGGACAGCAGTTGATTGATCAGTTTCTGTTGCCGTATGTGCATCCTGAATGAACTGACTCGTTATATCCTTTGGTTAAAAGTTTTAAGTAAATTTTCGGTATATGGCTGGCACTGTAATTCAACACATTCGTTTCATCCTAATTGAAATTCTATAACCGGATGTGCCTGAATTCCAATGTTTATATTGACATAACAACTTGACCACAATACCTACCCTAACTAGCTCAGTGTGAATATCAAAACTAAGATGCAAGTACATCCAGCTGACGAGTTCCAATTAGAAAGGAATACAGGCTCAGATTCCACATCATATCCACATATTAAATATACGATCATTAGATAAACATATCGAATCTCTTCTCTTTACTTTACCTTGAAAAGTTGATGTTTTCTTTCTAGTTCAAAAACTTTCTCTTGTTTCTTACGTCGTTCTAGGTGTTCTTTTAAAAGTCGAGCACGTTCTTCTGCTTGTTTCTAATATATAAATACAAAAAAACAGGAAATAATTGAAATGATAAAAAACGATTGGATAAATCATCATTGCCAAGATATTTCAGTAACAATATACTTGAAGTATACAATGATGCAGATGTGAGGGCGAGGATCGGCAAAGCAAAAGTATTATATTTACAATTGAAGAACATCTGGAACTCAAAACAATTGTCAACCAACACTAAGATCAGAATTTTCAATACAAATGTCAAGACAATTCTACTGTATGGGGCGGAAACCTGGAGAACTACGAAAACCATCATCCATAAGATACAGGTAATTCTTAACAGTTGTCTACGCAAGATACTTCGGATCCGTTGACCGGACACTATCAGCAACATTCTACTGTGGGAGTGAACAAACCAGATTTCAGAGGGGGAAGAAATCAGGAAGAAGCGCTGGAATTGAATAGGACACACATTGAGGTAAGCAGCCAACTGCGTCACAAGACAAGCCATCACTTGCCATCCTGAGGACCAAAGGAGAAGAGGAAGACCAAAGAGCACATTACGCCAAGAAATGGAGACAGACATGAGAAGAATGAACAAAAGTTGGATAGAACTAGAAAAGAGGGAGCAGTGCAGAGTGGGTTGGCGAATGCTGATAGGCTGCCTATGCTCCATTAGGAGTAACAGGCGTAAGTAATACAATGTTGAGTGACATATATTTGAAGCGCATTATTGACTGAATAAATGTTGATAATAATGACCGGATTTTATTGCTAGAAACATTTACACATTGTGAGAAGTTATTTCTTTCATTGATGAATCAATAATCTGACTTGAAATTCACGCTTCATCATACCTGGGATTCATGCACTAAACAGTCTCACCTACGTTATGATTATCATTCGAACAATACGATGTTATCAACATAGAGGTAGAATTTAGTGGATCCTTATTTTGACGCCAAATAGAATGGACGATGATGATATCGAAGGGCGCACCATTATAAGTGCCCCGGTATCTGATTCCAAATCGATCGTATGAATGACTGTTATTGTACAAAACGCGAATGTCGTAAAACATTATTGACTTATTCCCGTATAAGAATAATGTAAGATAATAAGTTAAATACGAGAATGAAGCAAGTTCCAATAGGTGCACTTCGTACACTTATTCATCTGAAAATACACTCAGCAAAACCATAAGAGGAGGAGGAGGTGAGAGAGAGCGAAGCCACACCAAATCACAAGCATTCGAGAAGGAGAATGAGCCAACTCCATTTGATAAAGCATGACCAAAATAAATTACAGACACTCAATCAACGCAACAAGCCAATAACACACACACACCATCATATAAAAACAGTCACCATTTATAAGCGAATAAGTGAGTGACAAGGTCAACATTCGGCTTCACAATAATGTCTAGAAACTAGGATAACCTGTATCTGCTTGTCATGGTACCAGCCAGTCATATTATAAACATGCAATGTAATATACACTCAATCACTCACTCACTCACATTATAACTGTATCAAACATCCGCGTGAAAGATCAACACAAGCATTTATAGGAACTAATACAGGTCTGAGTGAGTAGCACATGACATTTGCTAAGCTTATTGTAATCCCATTGGGTGTTCTATGTATTTGTATTTTTAATGTTTACACTGGTTATTATATATATTTCAGTATGCGAATTGCACTTACATTCATAAGCCATGTCTTCAAGTTTGAACTGAAGAATATCTTTAATAGGCGGATGGTTGTTTCTGTGGTGTCTCTGTTCCATTAATAATCTAAGATATATGTATCCGCGAGAAAATTTTGACAGTTAACAGCCAATTAAGATTAGTAGGACTTTCAAAGTGTAGTTACGATAAAGTCAACTATTAGTCGGATTGAAAACTGGGATTTAGCAATCAAGTGTATGAACAACAATATCTTACTTACTCACTTACTTACTTACTTACTTACGCTTATTACCCACAAACTAGCATGGACCGCTGACCAACATTCTCCAACACACTATGTCCTCGGTCTTCCTTTCTAGCTCTATCCAATGTTTGTTCATTCTTCTCATGTCTGTCTCCATTTCTTGGCGTTATGTGTTCTTTGGTCTTCCTCTTCTCCTTTAACCCTCAGGATTCCATGTGAGGTCTTGTCTTGTGACACATTTGGGTGATTTCCTCAAAGTGTGCCCAATCCACTTCCAGTGCTTCTTCCTGATTTCTTCCTTCGCTGAAATCTGGTTTGTTCACTCCCACAGTAAGTTGTTGCTGATAGTTTCTGGTCAACGGATCCGAAGTACTTTGCTTAGACAACTGTTAATAAACACCTGTATCTTCTAGATGATGGTTTTCGTAGTTCTCCAGGTTTCCGTCCCATATAGTAGAACTGTCTTGACATCTGTAACCGCAAAGATACTCTACATTCTCTTCAGCAAGATTTGGGGTGAAGAACAAGTACCAACAAACTGGAAAGAAGGACTTCTGATCAAAGCACCAAAGAAAGGCGATCTCATCAAGTGTGGTAACTACAGAGACATCACTCTTCTCTCAACATTAGTATAAGGTTACTTATTTACTAACAATTTATCATGATGAAGTTTACGCTTTGAGTAAGTTTATTTAACAGTCATATGATTTCTTTAGAGCTTTTGTTAATTTTAAATTATGGTAAATATATATCTAACCTACTGTAGTTTCAATAAAAAACGTACTTACTTTTAATGCTTCGAACTTCTGTCGTTTCTCTTCCAAAGCTTTTAACTGGTAGAGAATATGAAAAAAGAAAACAAGCTGTGTAATACATTCATCCTGAGATTTCTTATGTGTAAATTATTTGATTCACATCATAAGCTAGACCACCATGGAAAACCTGGTAGCACTGAACATCCGTTTCGTCTTATTGTGTGACTCCTCAGCAGTGCGCATCCCGCCTCGCGAGATTCGAACCCAAGACCTACCAGTCTCGCGCAAGAGCACTTAATCGATAAACCACTGAGCCAACCGGCAACCAACGGTGTCAAAGTCTAACTTCAACCAATCCACAAAGTTGAACAGCCATTTCGCCAATGTCTTTAGTGAGTTGATATCTCCTTCATATACCCCCTCATATCATAAATATTTTTAATGTATTACAGAAGAAAAGTGAAATAGCTCAAAATAAGATGAAATGATTCAGGTTTACTTGTTTTTTATGTTTTCCATAGAAGTTAAATGACGCTGGTTCTAATACCATAAGAAGTATTAGCTAGCAAGACGTCAAGTATGCCTTGGTAAATAGTAGAATTTAGCACGAGGTATAGGTTTAAGGTCTTCTACTGACTACTTGCAGCTGCTTAAAACCAAAAAGCAATCTAAAGAATCTTTAATTCAACTAGTCAAGCGTAGTTATTCTCTAGTCTACCAGTGGTCTCTACAAAAAAATGAAGAATTACCCTACTTTATATATCTCTAAATTCAGCTCATCATTTTGCTATATCAAAAATGGATTGAAGTAGAAAATGTATACCATTGGCTACCAAACTAATGCTTCTAATGGTTAAGAGCCTACTGAAATGTGAAGGACCAAGTTTCCATCCCTGGTATGTTTGTAAATGCTAACTCTTAAAGAATCATATATAATTATCAAACATCTGTTAGGCAACTCATAGTTTATAATGATACACCAATTGAAGTTAGTCTGTAACAAATATCATTTAATCAGAAGGGGTTTTGTGGAGATTTCAGTATTTTTCATAGTTGAAATCATTAGTCAATTGAAGCTAGACCACCATGGACAACCTGGAAGCACTGCTTGACGGCCGTTTCGTCCTTTTTACGAATTAAAATAATACACACAACAACCACTTCAAAGTATCATAACTATGCGAATTTCTTTAAAAACCAACATGACAACTTTAATATGTTTCATTGATACTTACCTCTCTTTGATGTTCTAGTATACGTCCTATATTATGTATAAATGAACAAGACATTTAAGTTATATTTGAAAAATGATTAAAGATTTTAAAAGTTATAAAACTAAATGTGAAACAACAACATTGGAAAGGCTACAAAAAATAATTTTTGTACTGAAATTATTAGAAAAGGATATTTGATAAATCTTTTGACTGAACGGTTGAATCCATTCCCTTAGCTCTACTAATAACCCTAGGCTAACTCTACATGACAACATGAACACGACTAAAAGTTAGTGACTTCAAGGAATAATGCCACGTTCTGGTTTGGTCACCCCTAACTCTCTTCCAACCATAGCCAATACTAGTCAGAATAGCGCGTCGTGGTAATCGGTGTTCAGGCATAAGTAACACGTGACCCAAACATCTCAGTCGATGAAGATTCATGACCTCATCAACTGATTTATCATCATTCCCTAATACCCTGCATCTAACCTCACTATTACTTACCCGGTGATCCCAGCAGATGCGAGTAATATTTCTAAGACATCTTCAATCAAATACTAGTAACTTACGAGTATCTTCTACTTTTAATGACCATGTTTCGCAACCGTAAAGTAGAACAGTGCGAACTGCTGAGCAGTATACTCGTCCCTTAATTGATAGACGGATATCTCGTCTTCGCCATAGGTGACGTAAGTTGGCAAAAGCCAAACGAGTTTTTTGAATCCGTGTTGAGATTTCATCAGACATCAACATATTAGGACTGATCAAACTTCCAAGATAAGTGAAGTTGTCTATGCATTCGACTACTTCACTCCCTATTCTTAGTTCAGGTGTTGACGCCGGCCAATCCTGGAGCAACAATTTATATTTATGGGGGGAAGAGCGCATCCGAAACATCCTGGCATTGTTACACAGTACTACCAAAAGACTCTGCATTTTGTCAGCTTCTTCATCAAACAAGACTGTCATCTGCGTATTTTAAGTCAATAAGTGGACCTCCTGGTAAGAGATCAATTCCTGAAAATTTAGTCGACGAGAGTGTTATTTCCAGCAGTAGGTCTATAATGAAGTTAAACAAAAATGGAGATAGTGGACAACCTTGTCGGACACCACTTGAGGTTGTAAAATCATACGACAGTTCGCCATAAGCTCTCAGTCAACTGTACAGAGAATTGGTGTATTTATAGCATTTCAGTAGGCTATGGGCTTCCAGAAAGTTCTGGTAATCATCCGTTCAGAAATTCGACATGTGACTCTTCAATTTCTAAATGTTTTCGAAAAACGTCTTTTGAAAGCCGATAGGCTAAAATGCTTCCCATTGTTTTCACAGCTTTTTTGGACTTTTTTCAAAGAATTCTCTGGGTTTCACCCATAATATTACGCAATTTATAGCTTAAAGATAAATCATTCTGCTAATGAACATGAAATTGAAGATACGTTGATCTATAGAAATCTGTCTATACTTTGATATGACTAAACACTAAAATAACATTCTAGGGACAATTACATAAAATATCTTCGTTTTATTTGTTACTTACTAACTAGAACAACACATTTAACCGAACAACAAATAAACTAACCAATGGTAGGAAGTATTCGTAAAGCTTATTGAAAATGTTTTTTACTCGCGCATTATTTTAACTTTTATTTTTGTAGTACTTAGTAATTGTAAGTAGTATAACATTTTATTTTAAAATAAAAATGTTTTATGCATTAAACAGGCTGAGACTCGATTTCGGTTTATTCAACGTTATTGTATTTCCAGTGAATATATACATTAGCTGATGATCATCATAGGAATTAGAGTAGCTTAGACTTAAGAGAAGCAAAACTAATATGCAGTTATGACTTCTCATAGGAATTTCAAGAATTCATTTCGGTGCCGGTCATTACTCCGGGAGCTCATACAATTAATGACTTTTACAATATAAAGGGTGAAGTGATCTTAGTTCGGCCACCATTAAAAAACCTGAAATCAATCGATGGCTGCTTCTTTTCTTAGCGATGCGCATCCATGAACCTACATTGGGGAACTGAAATGTTTTATTGGCTGATTCAAAGTTAAAATTTTCAATTTAAAGCTATGCTGTAAACTAACAATGATAATTAGATTACCTCTTTCGTTAAGATTTACAAATGGTGAACCGCCTAGTATATCAGCTACACCCATAATATGACCAGCACCACGTGCACGATTCATTGCAGCTTGTTGTCTAACAGAGATAAAATCTTCAACTAATTTGGTTTGTTTAATTGCTGATTGAATTTGTTCATTTCTACGTAAATTTGATTCGTACGGCTTTGAATAAACTAAATGACAAAGAAGACATGAAGACAAAAACAAAGTTGCTTATTGAGTAAGAATAAGATGAAAGGGGGGCAAGTTCAGGAAACTTCTGCTACAAGAATTTCTTTCATCATAGTAGAAAATATTTTTCTGGACCATATATGGTTTCCACAAAAGAATCTAGTTCAACACTGGGAGTATTCGGGGAGGTTGACTATTTGGAACAAATATATAATGAATAAATATCTCTATTTTAATTGAATAACTGTTTCATTGTATTGGTATATTGCCCTATCTACTTATGGGCTTTCATGTAACTGTTGATAGACGTTTTACCATTTGTAAACTATTGTTAATAATTTATAGAATCTATGACCAAGTAATTTTGCCATGTAGAGCTGAAGGTCTTATGTGAGACTAGAGGTTCACCATTGACATTTTTAATGGTTCGGCATTACCGATTTCATTCATACTGATGGTTGCTTTTCAGTGTTCTCAAGGGCCATTGTCATTGGAAAATTGTAAGGTATGACACCATTGCTGGCATTAACGAGTTTGACTGGCGTGTAAGCGGAATGGGTCAACTTCGGACTTTGCATGCTGTGTATAACTGATTTATGCTATCACTGATCGGAATAATTATACATGTGATGTGAATATGTATGAATGGTGTGAATGGTCCACCAGGGGGCTTGGTACCTGTGTGGTTGCGCCAATGGATTGAGCTGTACAATTCAAATTGTAGCGTTGAAGCCCATATAGTGTCTGCTTCTGTTTTGGGGCGGGATTGAGCTGTACTGCTCAGGTTAAGCCAGAGGGCGTTGTCAGGCTCTCTTGTTAAACAGGATTGAGCTTTACTGTTTGGGTTGTCACGTGAGAGTCTAGATGGTGTCTGGTTCTCCTGAAAACCAATGCGAAATTACCCTGGCCTATAAGGGTATATTATAGAACTGTGAACTATAACTGTGAATAGGCAAGCGACCTAATGAGGTAGATCCAGAAGAAACTATATTTTCTGTACTTGGAATAGTGTTTAAATTTTACGGTGAAACTATAATGTCATTAAGCTTGATCATCATTGGTTCTTTGGTATATAGCACAGTTCAAACTGTAGTATTTCATTAACTAATAAATCTTTTACGCTCTACTTTGTCAGTGTGTATTGCAACCAGCCCTTTTGATCATTTTTTTATTCATTTATTGGATAATCTATCAGTTTAAGCATTTGCGGTTATCCACAACTATCTGTTATGAAAACGTCATTGCAGCGTATTCGAATATCCATGTATGACATTTAGGAGTTAAAATGAAGTATCTAATGACGATCATACTCTGATATACAATACTCACCTACTAGATAAGCGGTTCAATGACCAAAAGTGTTGGAAATAACACACTTATTGAATTGTGGAAACTTTATTCCTCATCTCAGACATTCTATACAGAATTAAAAAAGAATGAAAACGTACTTGGTTGATATTTATTGTCTCCATATTTGTCATTCTCACTGAGACATTGATCACTTATAATATCATCAATACTATTATTGTTCTTATTACAATTGTTCATAATATTGATTTTATCATGAATGTTACTGTCGTCAATAGTAGTAACATTGTTTTCCTTGTTACATGGATAGAGTATAGGGCACATATCATTCGGTTTCATCGGTAGAACAGCTTGACATGGTTGTAGATAAGATGGTTTTATGTTGATCTGAGGTGTTGATGGTGTTTGTGGTGTTGTTGATACTATACCGATTGCAAGAGATTGTGATGGAATCGATACCGAGATCGTATCGATGGGCTTTGGGGTTATAACTTCTGAATGTTTAACACCTTAGGTTAAGGGCAATTAGAATAAAAGAATAAATAAAACCAATAGGTATCAAATATTGTTTAAAAAACAATGAATAGAACATATGCGGTCATTATAAACGGTAAAAGTGGAAGCAATAACCTCATGGTCCTATGGTGAAGTCATATAGCTGATTTTATAGGTTTTTGATAACAGTAAAGTGTCTCTTCCAGAAAGCCAGCATCTGCAGAAATGTTATCATCTCACAACCAAGAGAAAAGCTTAGAAAAGATCAACTTTAAAGATATCATACTCCGCTTACTATAATTACTTCCCCTCGTTAGCTGTAAGATATTACAAGTAAGGAGGGAGCTCGTCTAAAACTACTAGGAAAAGGTTGTGTGTAACTGACCTTAAGTAGCTGTTTCTTGGGCACTATGTTTACGCTCACAAGCCTTCAAGGTCACTTCTAACCAAGTTCCTCTCTCAGATCTTTCGAAAAAATATCCTGGATATCAGTGAGGTGTTAAACTTACTCATACCTCTAACAGTACTTGGATATCACCTTTCTCTTACTGAAACTCTATTACTTGTTATTTCTTTTGTTTTCAATAACAACCCTGAACTTCCACTTTCTGAATATGTCCATCCACCGACTAATCGACGGGCAGTGATGATTTATGTGGTAGTAGGTTAGAAGAAAGGTATCAATCAGTGACTTCACTGACTGAGCCATGTTAATTAGTGTAGACTACCTGGTTGGGATCATCGTGATTATCGTAACCATTGGTTAGAAACATTGAACGACATAGCTCAAAACGTTTGCAATGACAAATGTGACAAATTCCAAGCTTCTGAATCCTTCAAAATTTATTATTACTTCACTAATTTCTATTCTCTTTTCGAATGTATTTCGAATGTCTAAATTTTTTTTGTTACCACTAATACTGTTACTACCTAGCCTACTTTTGGATTTGTTCTGACAATTTCATCTCACTATTTTAATCGGTTACAGTTGCTTGAAACGATGTACACATGTGTCAGGTTCTGCGTTGCGTTCGACTAACTCACTAACTAACTTCTTTCTTAGTTAATTTTGAGACCATATGTTTATAAGGATTTTTTTAAGTAGATAAAATGTCGACTTAATCGTTTAAATGGTGAAAGGTATTCCCTTATACATCGTTAGTTCACAATATCAGCGAATGTTAATGTGAACTGTGTCATCGGGTGCAGAATTCTTTGACTGGGGGTCCTAGATGACAGATTCCAGAAGTAGTTGCATCGTTCTAGACCCATGAGCTCTTTATCCTTCTCTATGTTTTATGTGCCAAAAGTATTTTGTACTTTTTATTGATTGACTTCGTTCATCCCAAACTAGATCATCCATCTGATTATTTCGCATTACCATGCATCCTGATTTTACCGAAGTTACAGAGATCACACTCGCCCTCATGAAGTAGTCATGTAAGGCCATATTCTTATAGCCTCTTTCATAGAAGTTCTTCTCACTGTTTCCAGATACCTTGAGGGTGTTTTTGAAGAAAATAGAAGACAAAAGCAAACGTCTGGCGTCCAGACTAAGTTGCTGACTACATAGAGTCCTTTCTTGAGGGATTTGGAAACTCATATTCCAAAAAACGTGCGGAACATCTGCTCTGAAATTCCCCCGAATAAACCATTAGCTTATAAACCGTACAAAACACTTGACTATACAATAAATAAAGAAACTTACAATTATAAATATCATAATCTTTACAGTTTATTTGTTGTATACGATCTCTTTCTTGTTTATATTTTGTAAATGCATCAGCTACAATTACACTTGGTGATGAAGAAGGATTACAATTATAAGGTTGATTAGTTGAATGAATAGTTGGTTTGTAATATACATCTTTTAGTTTAGGATTATCACCAATTACATTCACCTAGAATAAAATACAAACGAAGTCTGGTCTAAAGACATTGTACTAACCATAAGAGTCAAAAGTAATGAGCTAGATTCTTAAGTGTCGTTATAAGTATGCACTGTCAAGGAATTTAAAAGTTAGAACGAAACTTTTGTACAGTACTCATTAGTCTTCGCAAGCTCAATATCTTAGATTTTAGTTGTTAATGATGCCATGCTTGAGTAATTTAGAAGAAAGCCAGGGGAAACAAAACCAAAACACGGAATCAAACAATCAAGTCATTGACTGTTGGACTGAACCGTATAGGTAGGTAATAACTACCTGGTTGGGGTCTGCTTGATTGTCTAATCAATTGCTGGAGATGTTGCTTGGTATGGCTTAGAGTGAGGAGCGATGGTGCAGATTTATACCTTCATTCGTCTCCTCTTAACTTTGAATTTCTTAACAATCCCTTTATGCATTATATCCACTATACCTAATCTTTCTTAGTATCACTGATACTACTAATAGCTTGGTACTTGTCTTTATAATCTCATCTTGTTTTGCTAATATGATATGAGGACTTGAACCAATGAAATATTTGTCAGGTTCTATACGTTATGACGTTAACGATATATATGAGAAAACAGTTCTACAATGAACCCATGGTTAAAAAACCTAAACAAATCAAGTGTGTTCGATCTACATATTTATTAAAAATCTTGAACTGAATGATATTTCATATTTTGTAATCTTTTGGAAAAGTATGTTTAGATTTTCTTGCGCGATGGATTGTTTTTATCGAGATCACTAACAGATTTAAGTTATGACAACTATTGAACACCTGGAAGTAATGTACAGCTTTCTGATCTTGGTATGGTACTTTTCAGAAGTGGGTAGCCATGACTACATGATAGAGGATCAGTCACGTATGTGGACTCTAAACCATATGACCGCCTACTCGGGATATAGTGGTGCACAAGTATAATTTCAATAAATTCACGATAATATGCAACCATCTTTCATTATCTTCGGTGAATAACTTTCTCACACAATTGAACTCCATTAGTCACAGCTTAGCACTAGAGCTCCAGGTATTACCTCTCGAGGTCAGTCACTAGTTAACACATAATAATTATCAGTATAGCGTTATGAAAATTGCTGAGTTTTACTGAAGTCAACATTTATCCAACTTAAATTGGTCCGTGATTTTAAAACAATGAAAATAATCTCTACAACTCTATACCTATGATTCTTATCCTCTTTCTCTGGTAGGTCTCGGGTTCGAATCTCACGAGACGATGTCGAGGATGCGCACTGCTGAAGAGTCCCATAATAGGACGAAACGGCCTTTCAGTGCTTACAGGTTTTCCATGGTGGTCTAGGTTCAATTGACTCATGATTTCAACTATGAAAAATTCATCTTTTTGTTAATTTTCTCTCATTTTCATTGTGTCGTTATGCAAAAAAAATGTTCTGAGGTTATTCATAACCTCCCAATTGTTCAATAAATATGCTCTTTTTGGTCATTTTTTCAATTTAGTCAGTAGATAAGTGTTTCATAGTTAAGTGTAAATTTTATTAGTAATTTCATTTAAAGAGTCTGAAGTTGTTCACAATTGTTTACTATGAACATATCAGTGTTACCCAGGCAGAAATGACGAATAAAATGTACAAAGTTCATGGAACGACATAATTAATGAAGACTTGATAACTGACTCCAACCGAATAACCTGATAGTTTAGACCATTAAACAACTCTTTTTAATTTAATAAATCAGATTATGAGTCAATTGAAGTTAGACAACCATGGAAAACCTGGAAACACTGAACAGCCATTTTGTCATATTGTTGGACTCCTCTCAACATTGCTTATCCATGATCCTGCCTTACGGGATTCGAACCCCTTATAGTATCAGTTTACGTGTTAAGCCCATATACTTTATTTTAGCTACTGGTCAGGCCAATTCACCTATACATTGAGTCATATTTTGATCTTGTTAATTATTCGCTTACTAACCTTGACTATATTTTTATATGAGCATATATGTGTGCACACTTTGTATCTTGTCATATATCTGTAATTCATTTTTGTCTGACTATAAATGTTGATTAACGCTTGCTAAAAATGAGGTGGCTTCTCGCCATCTCCAAAGCGCACGCCATTTTGCTTCTCTCTCTTCTGTTTACTTCATCGCTCTGATTCCCTGGCCAGCTGACTGTAGAAAATATATGCATCCTAAATCCATTCTCGTATTTGACTTATTTGACTTCGTTATTCACCAGTGCGGATTAAGTCATATATTACATACGAGGATAGACAGTACGTGCGATCGAAAAGGAATCAGATTTACGGCGGAACACCCTTTTTTATTTAATATTGAATTGTTAATCTAATACATTCAATTAAAACATAGAAACCACTTACCATATTTTTCTCATTAACAGCAGGTGTAATACATAGAGGTGAATGATCTAATAAGTGTTTCCAACCTTGTTCTTTTATTTTGTTTCTAGCTTCCAACTAATAGTAATAGTAACAATAAGAAGAAGAATACGGTGGTCATGATACAGTTTTAAATACATCAGTGTAATGATCCTCAATCATAATAATTCATTTTGAAGAATCTAAAGTAGTATGATTCAGATGTATAATAACATAGATACAGACTTATATCCAGGTTGAGTGTATCTTACTGTTTTGAACTCGGTGCTTAGATTTACCTCCATTCATATTGTTATGATAGTTGATAAATGGACGCAAATAAAGCATTCGTCAGACTTTTCACTATTAGTTTAATGAATTGCAGTAGCTAGTTATTGTTAAACAAGAAAAAATTCATCTTAATTGTTTGTTGAAAGATAAGTTCTATAGGTAGATGATTCTGTGTTGCTTTATTTTACATATCAGTGATATTTCATATGGCGATTATTGATGGAACTGATAAGGCATGGCTATGTGTAAGGATGGCTCATTGGCAAACTCTAGAAAGCCTCAAGAAGCCCAGAAAGAGCCGAAGACATTCCATCCATTCACCACTAGGAGAACATTCCAGAATGTCGATGTGTAGCTTCTATATTGGATGGATATGAATGAACCCCCATGTGCCTATTAACTGTCCGAAATGATGATCTACTTTCAGCCAAAAAACTATAAATACATGAGATTTTTTACCATATTTGATACTGTTTTGGGAATGAAATTCCTACTTACTAGTCTTCTGTCTTCTCTCTTGAGATGTTGAGGGTTCGATCGTTCAAGTAGTCTAGTAGTTCGTGCCATAGCAAGGATCAAAGATCTAGATATAACACTATGTCTTTCATGATAGTAGTCAGCTGAAGTGACCCAGTGTTGATGTTTATATTACCAATACAATCTAACTAAGGCTTAATTATTCAAAAGTGTTATGATGTATTATGATAATTGAATAGAGTATTAAGCTTTATAAAAATCTGATGACTGATATAGTAGTGGTGACTAGAATGCTTAGTGCTGATGAGTGGTACTATTTCCTTATGACCTGTTAACTATCACGTGATACGATCACCAATTTAAACACCAACTTGTGGACCAGGCTAATGACGCATAAACCAGTACAAATAGCCTAGATTCAACTTTGAGTTCTATGAACCTCAAAGATAGTAACTTCTCACTTAACTCAGCTACTTCAGTCCAGAACAAAAAAACCAGCCTCCGCCATACAAACATATGTTCCAGACATAGGCAGTTTATATACAAATAAATCAGACCGCATCATACATAAGACAGAATATAACACATGTGCAAGACCAGTCCAAAAAGTGACTGTGGATATGAAAGACTGTAACTAATACATTGGGAATAACTTAAAGACAGAAAATTGTATAGTAATAGTTAACAGGTCAAATGGAAGCTCATAATAAGAGGAATAGGAGTATGCATATAATATAGTTACCTAATAGCTATACAATGAGGATATATGTAATAATTGTCCATGAATAGATCCTAGCGGTTACCATTCACTTATACGTCCTCCGGATATAACAGGTGGACAGAAGAAAAATCGTTTTTACGAATTTTATTTCTCAGATTTGTATAGATTCTTCACCAACCACATTATTTTTAAACTTAGGATTCAGCATCTAATAGTTTACATTTCCAACTTTAGTCAATTCGTATGAGGCGTTCTTTTGGAGATTGTTGAATTCCATGATTTACATCATAGAGTGACCTTAGATAAAAACTACCACTGAATATCATGAAGCACTAGACAACTGTTTCATACTAGTATGATACTCTCATTTGTGCACATTAAAGACCCAACGGTAGTTTGAACCAAATATCGTTGGATCTCTCACTGAAAACTTAACTTTCAGACAACTGAGTTGGTATCTAATAGTTTACGTTCCTAACTTCTGAATTTTTCTGATAGGACACAACCATTTTTCGCTAGCGTATTGACTGAATTTAGAGATAAAAGCCATTGAATAGCAAATAGGTGGTCTGAAATTTAAGCATTCTCTTGGAGACTAGACGGTTTCTGGTTCTACTCCCAGTGGGATGGAGAATGTGCATTGCTGGGAGTCTTATGCTACGACGAAGCAATTGTAAGCATTATTTGTCATCCTCAGTGTGTTTAAATATTTCCACACTTCATACCATGCACTGTCACTGGTTTACTTATCTACCGATTGTAGATTTTTGTCATATCAAAGGATTATATACATCAAGAAGACCCATATAGATATGGAAAAATGAACTCACTCGCTGTTTTTCCATCAATTCTCTTTGTTTTCTACGATTCACATCGATTACTGATTCCCGACGTTTGGATTCACCTTCAGAAACTGTTCCATGTGAATTACTATTGTTACTATTATTGCTATTTTCTGCTTTCTTATATAATTTTTTATTTATAGCATCACTGGAAGTTTATGAAAATGAATATATGCTTTTACTGACTACTGAATAAAAACATTTCAGTAATAAATTACTCTTTATTCAAAATATAAATATTTGGTAAAAATCTGAGATCAAAGATATTATAAGCAAAGATGGATAGTGACAAGCAGTGGAATCCAGGAAGCGCATCTCGTCCTATTTGGGATTCGTCAGCTGGATATACCTGCATCTCAGAGTTGATGTTTACTGTGGGACTCAAATCCAGTATCTTTCGCTTCAAACGCCATGGCGTTATCCACTCATCTACTGAATCCACTTGCTTGTGCGATCGGGTGAAGTTCGTAGTCGGATTATAAAAATGACTTCTTATCTCTGAATCATCGAATAGATTTTCATGAAATTACAAGTATACCTTATTAATTAAGGCCAATGATGCTTGTGATTCGTAGTCAATTACACCCAGTTATTTAATACATACAAGGTGTGCAAAATATCTGGATGCTTACTCATTAGTACAAATCTGTTTACTTTCAGCCTTCATACGAAAAATAGGAAAAAGTACTTTTTGAATTGGCTGACATCGATTTGATAAGTATAATGAAGATGACGTAATGCTGCTTAGTACCTAATACTGAATAAACTATACCGATATGAGTTACATCATGAACACTTAGCTAAGTAACTCAGTGATATAATACATCATAATTATTGTTGAGTGACTGAATTAAGTGAATGAAAAACTCTGCAATCAAGCGTTGTTCTCCCTTACGCTTATTAATGAAGCTCCTGTAACATAACACTTATCATATATAAAACTAAGAGGTGTTGAACATGATATACAGTGATTTCGTTTTATTTCATGATTCATTAACTGAAAACATTAAAAGATACAAATAAAATGCCACCGTTCTCAGTATAACACTACGAATCAGATTTTAAAGTGTGATTTCAAAACTGTGATCCTTTTGAACATTTTAAGTTGTGACAATACAGCTGTATTAACTTCCAAGGAATACTGGATACTCCGCCGTAGTTTTACTTCCAATGACCGTTAGTATCTTTAGTTTTTTCATATACTTAGTTCCTGATAAACAATAAGAATAAATTTTAGGTGAATAAGTTGATAAAGTTAGACAAAATTCGTTACTAGACAGCTGTAGTGTGGTCTACTTATATCCACATAAGTAGTATATGGCGATGGAAACATAGAATGTATTTTGGCAGAAGACCGATAAGGAAAGAACAGGAATGAAGCGCAATCGGTATGAAAATGCGTGAACAATGGAATCAGAGTACATGGATTGATATTTACAGAAGAAACAGTGAAGATTGAGACAATTGGTTGTTAATTTGCAAATTAACTGTTTGCTGTATGGCTGTCAGAATTTAGTGAGATAGTCTGTGATTAAAGATGGGTAGTGGCTGGCAGTAGAATCCAGGACGCGCCTTTCGTCCTACTTGGGACTCGTCAGCTGGATGTACCTGCATTTCAGAGTTGATGTCCACTTCGGGACTGGGATCCAGTACCCTTTGCTTCAAACGCGCGTCCTGGATTCCACCGCTAGCCACTATCCATCTTTGCTTACCATGGTTGTGAATTTAAGCTATATCGAAGCAATACGCACAGTATGCACATATGCCAATTAGAGACTGACCAGTTGAAGTTCAAAAACATCAATGGGAAGATTCAAACATACAATACTATGTGAATATAGTTTGTGATTGTTGCTTAAATACATTCGATTGTCCCCAACCGGTGTTCTGTTTACTACAACGCAACAAATACTGGATCTTGGAATAAATTATAATAATTCCCATCTTTGGTCGATTGGCCTACCGTTAAGTATTATGTAACGATTTCATATTGTTGATGAATTCAAACTAATCATCTTTATATATAAACACTATGGTTATTGATACATAAGTATGAAAAAGGGAAGGAACAGAAAACATACCTTAACTTGGACTTTTTAATCACCGGAAATGGATGTTGTTGTTGGTGGTGTTGGTGACTTTGTGACTGTTTGAAGTGTTTATTGATCAAGTTTAGATTGTTAGATAGATGATCATTTTTACGTTTAGAATGTTGATGAAGCACTGTATGACTAAATTCTTCTGCCATTTCCTTTAAATCAACAAATTGCATGAATATATATGTATAAGAGATTATACGTAATATTGAATGATGAGGAGTTACTTCATGATGCTTTCGCATTATGAGTTCTCCGCTTCATACAAAAGATAGTTTGTTAATCCAACAAATCAGAATGCATTGGTTACTAATAAGTCTGTATCTGGATAAGCAATGCAGTTGTTAGGAAACGGGTACTAGGTAATGATGGCAAATCGATTGATGAAGTAGTGAAACTTCATCAGTTGAGATGGCTGGGAAACGTGTTACGTATGCCCAACCACCGACTGCCCCGACGTGCAATGTTTCATGGTGTAGGAGTAGGTTGTAAGAAAGCTAGGGGCGGTCAGACTAAAACGTGGCACAAATCCATAAAGTCAATGACAAGTGACTGAGCCATGTTAATAAGCGTAGACTACCTGGTTGGGATTCGCGAGATGATAGCAATAGATGATTAGAGACCTTGAATGACATGGCTCAAGATCGTTTGCAATGGCGAAGGTGCATCCACTCTTTGTGTTCTGCCAAATTCTAGTCTTCTGAATTCTTCATGTCTCTTTCTTATTTCTCTTTTTAAATTTATTTCACTGGATTAAACTCCTTCAATAACATCTTCAAACCCTAATCTTTCACATAATGCTTATACTCTTACTACTTCTACCACTAAGGAATTTGTATCGACAACTGCATCTCTGTGTCAACGTGGTATGGCAACTCGAACTGATGTACGTAGGTACGTACGAAGTTCTACGTTGTGACTGACTTACTGACGAAATCTTGGTATGGACACAAAAGGATAATTTGACTTTAGGAAGTATGAACTACCTACATAGTATTTTGCTATTTATTACTTTACACCTATGACCCGTGCTATAACCAGTTTATGACCATGTGTAGATTGATCATACTCTATCATAAGTGTCTCAGAAGCATCTCTAACATATGATAGAGCCACTAATTGAGTTATTCTGAGGTTAGATGCAGGATTTAGGGAGAAGAGTGTAAACTAGTCGATATTGATTCTGAATTATCACTGACTGAAATAGCAGACATACGTGTTATGTATGCTCAATCACCATTTATCCCAATGTGCAATGGTAGCTAAAATAGCAATACATTTTAAGAAGGCTTTGTATCATGATACAAAGAAATTACATCAAGCCACGAAGCCGATGTCCGGTGGACTGACACGCATGATGAGATGATGACTTCTTACTTTGTGACTGGAGTCTTCAGTAACAGTGGCTTAGATGCACTCATTCTTTATATTTCACTAGATCCTCAGACAATCCTGATTCTACTATTACAAAAATGCTTTTAATTTTGATTGGTTTTATCCTATTCTCCTGAGAAACTTCGTTCTTCAGTCATCAGTGAAATACTATAATTCATGGCTGAATGTACTTCCGCTCTGGAGATTTGTATAGCGTTTCCCTAAAACATCTTTCTCTGTTGTGTCTTTTCCTGATTTCAGTAGTATTTACTACCCCATCCATTGATAAAGTGATATTCTCACTGAAACCACTTATAACGCGATCTACAGTAACCATTCTATAGTAATAAGGTCAAATACTTTAGAGCTTAACTCTCTGTGATCGTAAAAAATATGAATCTCAACACTGATTGGCTTGGTTACGTGACACAGTTAAAGTATTTTATATAACTCAAAGTTGATTCACGTCATATAATGAAGAAGACCGTTGAGAATCAAGGAACAATAGACAGTTGAATGTGTCTCTCATGTGGTTATTATAGAATTAAAGCATTCACTCACGTTTCTCTGGTTAAGTTTTACATGTGTCATATAAAAATAAATTTGTTGATCTATCAATAATATCTCTTAGATTTTTTATCACATCCCATAGATACTAGTCAACTATAGATTTCAATTGATATGAATTTGGCCCCCTAATGTCCTGGTATGGCCGAGAGTGGGGAGAGTTCGCTCTCCCTCTCCAAATGCTCTCACATGGACACGCGTATATAGCCTCTGCCACACAAGTCCTACTCACTGCCTTCTCGTAGCGGGGGTGTTGTTCACGAAAGTGAGAGGACGAAAAGCGAATGTCCGGCGCTTTAACCGGGTTGGTGGACACGGAAAGTCTGCCTAGAGGAGTTAGAAAACCACAATTCCAAACCAACGGTGCACATGGGCTGGCTCCAGTATCCTAATGGAACAAATGTCATATGAATCAATCGTTGGTCACTGGCTACCATGGGAATGCATCTTACGATGCTCCATTGCCTTGTGGATCAGACTTTTAGGTCAAAGGCTCCGGGTGTGTTCCCCCTATGTAAACCACCTGCTTCACTTTGGGCACCTGTGCAGTATCATAGCCCTCACACAAATCTAATGAGATTTGTGCGGCGCATATGTATTTGGTGCCTCCTTGTACCAATATTTATGTGTTTAAATAAATAAATATGAATTTCGCATCAACGTAATAAGAGAATTAGTTGAACAATACTAATTGATATAAGTTAATAACTTACTGTTTCTGTTAAATAAAGATAGATACGTTTTGATAAAAATGGTTTCCTTAAGATTGCATTAATACTTGGTCTATCTCTAAAATTGAGAAATTTTAAAGAGAAACACGACTGATAAATGTTTTATTTTATAGTTGAAATCATTAGTTAATTGAAGCTAGACCACCATGGAAAACCTGTAAGCACTGCATGGGCGTTTCGTTCTATTGTGAGACTCCTCAGCAGTGCGCATCCACGATCCCACCCCGCGAGATTCGAACCCAGCACCTACCAATCTCGCGCCAAAGAACTTAACCGATGAAAATACGGTGAAACTATAAAAATACTGAAATCTCCACAAAAACCCCCTTTCAAATGTTTATTCATAACGAGGAAAATCAATAGCTCAAACATATTTCCTTACAATGTTCTTTCCTAACGTATGGATGTTCGTAGGATGTTCATAGGTTGCTTGTATTTGATCATAGATACTTTCAAAGCATTGTTTATGTATGTTGAGATCACCGAGTGAGGAATATTGTTGTTTAGAATAGGCTACTAGGTAAAAATGACTGATCATTTGATAAGGTAGTAAATCTTCATTGACTAAGAGTTTTTGGGAAGTTCATTGCATTCAATCAACCTCCACCTACTTCGATACGTGATGAAAGATGATGAAGATGTAGGCTAAAAGAACATTATGGATAGTCATACCAAGACCTTAGATTATTCCATGAAATTATTGACTGCTGAACAAAGTTGTATAGGTAGATGTATTAATCATGTCATTAGTTGTCTTTAATCATTAGTTACGATAAGTGAGAAGACTTCAACTTGGTTGTTCTTATTGTTTAACTGATTTGAAATTTCATTCATCAATGCCGTGACTTTTGAAGATTATCCGACTGATGTCATTTATTATGAATGGTAACTTTGAGAACTATTTATGGACCAATATGATATATATATTTCCTATTGTGTAATTGTTAAGTAACCTAAGTATTCATATTAATGTTTCTTTTCATCATAAGCTTTATTTTGACCTATAGACTATTACTGTGCGACTTACTATTCCTAAGTTATACTCAACCTATTGATCACAATTGATTGATCACTGGGTGGTGATCAATGTCATGCGTGTCAAGTCCTTCTTAGTGCTGATCGAATGCTATTGATCGAGTTGCAATTTGGCCCCTAGTCTAGGTGGCTCGACAAATGTATATTTTCTATTTGATGGTACAATGTGGTAAGTTTGTCTGGTACATAAACCCAGTATGTTTGAGAATAATGATTTATATTTCAGAGATTGTTATTGGTGTTCTGAACTTAACTGGCTGGGCTAGGCAGATATAGCAGGACTGACAAGTACTGAAGACTGCTCATACGGTTTTTTGTGTATCATTGATGTGATCGATAATTCACTCCTCTCTAATTGGTGGGATTCATTACGTCATATATTAAACAGGGCACACATTTACTCGATATAACATTAAATAAAATATCAGAATGGGGGTTTTGTGGAGATTTTAGTAATTTTATATAGTTGAGCTCATGACTCAATTGAAGCTAGAACACCATGCAAAACCTGAAAGCACTGGACGGCCGTTTCATCCTATTTTGGGACTCCTCAGTAGTTGGGAGATATCAAATCACTGAAGTCAATGGTTACTCAACTTCGTGGATTGGTTAAAGTTAAACATTAACACCGTTGGATGCAGGCCAGCTCGGTGGTCTAGTAGTTAATCGCTCGCGCGTGAGACTGATAGGTCCTGAGTTTGAATCTCGCGAGGTGAGATCGTGGATACGCATTACTGCCATCGAATGCTTTCGGGTTTCCCATGATAGTGATCTAGCTTCAATGAACTCATGATCTTAACTATAAAAAATATATATGAAATAATTTACCTTGGATTACGACGAAATAATTGAGAAATTAAATTTCTTATTTCATAACTATATTTTGATGAAACTGGTGGATAGGTTCCACTAAAACATTCAATTAAAAATGATTTAATTTAAACAAACCGTATAATTTTCAATACTAAATTCTTCATATTACCAGCTTCAAACTACAAAGATTAGGGATAAGAATAAGAATGGAAAAGTATATACACATTACAGCATGTTTTAATGTTGTCATTTCATATAATACACAACCTAATGCCCATATATCACTTTTATGATCATATGGTTTATTTTCACAGATTTCAGGTGATAAATAATATGGTGTACCAATACATGTACGTGCCAAATCCAATGTATGATTTAATACTTTAGCAATACCAAAATCACCTAATTTTAAACGTCCTTTAGATGTAAGGAAGACATTCTACAATGAAAAGATAAATGATAAGAAGTAACAATAAGATAAAACCTACTTGTGTTTTAATATCTCTATGCAAGATCATTCTATCATGAATATGTTTTAGTGCTAAACAGATTTGTACAAAATAATCTAAAATCTTATGAAAGTATAAATGCATATAAGGATAACATTACCAATGATTCAGGCATTAGAACACCATTTTGTTTATTAATTTTAGTATATAAATCTCCTTGATCACAATATTCCATGATAATATATAACCAACCAGATTCTTTGTTATTGAATAAACGAAATTATCAAGTTATGAATTAGATATACAAAGAAACAGAATACAATTACCTTCAAATGAATCACAATATTGGACTATATTTGGATGATTCATTTTTGATAAGACAGAAACCTAGAAAGAAAAAGGAAAGAATTTATAGTTACTAAACTCTCCTGTGTACATGATATATTTGCATGGTGGTTAGTTTCATAATCGTCGGTTCGATGGTTCGTTTAGACTCAGGAAGTACTAGACAATTGTTTCATCTTAGTCTAACATGTTTCATTGCCACGAATATGTATTCACACTATGACTCGGATCTAGGACTATTAAATCTCGTGTCTGCCATGCTAGGGTCAATGATTCTTTGTATATATTAAGTAATTTTGAAAGAATATACAAATTAGAGTCAATCCATTTCATCTGAAGGATATACACTCTCAGAATTTTATCTTATATATGGTGTTTTGATTAATTCAATAACTTATCTTTCATTCTTTGTCCTGCCAGAAAGATATAAACTATCCGCCAAATATTTATATTCTACCTATTAGGATATTGTTTCGAATCAAACTGTCTATTTTGAGTCTTTTTCAAAACATTTATTCATTATTCTGCAGTCTGCTGCCTATCCCATCCAAGGTTAACAATTGAAAACAATTTAACTATGATTAATTCAATTGTCTGGTGTGCATCTTTGAACTTTTAGGATTTGAATAAGAGTAAAAAAGATTGAGGACAGAAAGTTTGTTTAGTGATATGCAATTATTACTCAGTTAACAGCTAAGTACAGCATATTCAACGAGCAAACTGAAATGTAATGAAATATTATTGGTATCACAAAGATACATCAGTTGGACAACTACTGGAAACTTGAAATTACTTAGGTATGTTCGTGGTCTCAGTAAGTTTAAACAATCTTTTCAACTATCACACAATGAAGTAGTTTGAAATATACTTTTTATTAGTAATCATTTGGCCGTTCAAACCTAGAATTAGGTACAAAGTGTCTTACCCATAGCTAACCACTATTTTGTAGTTTATACCCTTCTAAGCTAGCGTATGATTGCTAACACTAAAGATGTGCCAGCCATCATCATAATTGGACAATATTTTTAGAACATGATAGATGTAATTCGTCAACCAAGTATATGTTCATGATCCTGATTTTCAGTTATATGTTCGGGGCAATATCTAACAATGCCATCCGGCTACCCAAATGGAAGTAGATAGAGAAGGATTTAAACCTATGACTTAGCATTTAGTAGTAGAGTTGTTTTATGACCAGTATATGATTCTAAAACTAGTCAACATATCTAATTTGGCCTCAATGCACACGAAATGACTAGTTTTAGGGTTTTGAGTTGAAACTTAAATAGGTGTGAATCCGCGTTAGCTATTCAATTACCTGCGAGTTGATTTCCTTACTCGATATTAATGCCACTTTGTTCGATAGGCGTTAGGCTAAATTAATGTGTTAAGTAAAGAGTTATAGTTATCTAACAACTCAATTGTTACACTAAGGACCCCTAGTTTCTATCTTGGCTGTTAAAACATTATGCTTACATTATATTATGCGAAACACACAAACCATTTTGAGTCAAGGTGCTTTAAAAATTACTGGCGTTAGTCAGTTAAGAAAAGATGTGCCTGATTTGACAAAGTTTCAATAGCCTACAGGTCAGAAATTCACACAGTTTGATAGTCTACAAAATGAACTTAGAGTGAAATTAGTTTTCTGGTGTAATCGTGGAGATTTACTCCATATGTATTGTTTGAGATATATATTTTGTTCAAAATGGTGTTAGTTTAGTCTCAGAAGTTCCAGTCCATAAATACATGTTGAGACCAGAGATAACATACCAATCGATAATAATCGGTTAACCAGTAAGGTGTGCAAAATATCTTTATATCTAAAACATAGACTGTAATGCAGATATTTTAGCTGTAATGCCTTTGTTTGTGAAAACATTAGCAATTTTTCATAAACTAAGTAGAGAAAAATGAAAGAATACTAAGGACCATAATTTTCAGGTATAAATATTCATTCAGTTCAATGCTTATTAGATCCTCCTTAATACAAATGCGAGTTATTGTATGACACTGACAACGAGTTTGGATTTGAAGAAAGAAACCTTTATCAATGAAACAAAAACATTGGGAAGCGATTTGCTACCGTTATAATGAAGTATACACATGTGGTTGTAGACGGCATCTCGGATGCCTTCTAATATGCAATATATTTTTGGCAAATTTGTCAGAGCTATTCGCTCATTTAGATCGTGCCTTAATGTAAAGGGAAAGTTCTGGATCTTTAGTTGCAAATAGTGAGATTTTTAGTTGCTCAACTTCGAATGTTCAAGTGATAGGTGACTCAAAGTTCCACACTTCTATGCGTTCGATTTTAAATTATTTTTGCAAATGTTTTTGAAATCTAATGAAATAAATAAATATCACGTCACCATGATGGAGTTTAGTTAGTCGTTTTAACCAGGAACAGAGTCCAGCAAAGAATTAAAAAGTGATCTCAGGTTATTTGCTTTTACCGCGATGAGAAAGCGTTTACATGCTAGGAATTTCCCTAGAATGAGATATTATAGTTTTGGAAAGCTACTCAATAATTTGCATGTAATTTACTTAATATAGAATTATTATAACTACCATCTACTTATCATGTGCCTAGTTTATGTTTTCCTGTGTTGAAGGTTGAGGCCTTAGTCAACCAACAAAGTTTCTAGACACGTACTTAACCATTAATCAATAATTAACAACTGTTCACTCAAAAACTAGTCTTTTAGTTGAGTAAACCCTTAAGGAGAATATCAAAGAAAATGTTGTTGCATTATCAGTCCTAGTATAAAATTAGGAGAAGAAAAACGATTCATGAAATACAAGAAATCGGTTCCAACAAAACACAGGCAAAAATATTTTAGATTAATTCCTGTATGAAGAAACTGGCCAATTGTATTTTACATCTCATATATATCGAAACTTTAGTGAGGATATAAAAAAAATTCAAAACCGAACTCACCTCTTTTCGAGCTTCTTCTCGCTCCTTGAGTGTCATCTAGAAAAATATATCAGCTAGTAGTACTGTATAAAAGTACTTTGCGAATATTGATTTCTTTCATCACTCGATGAATGTTTTCTGATTTTGATAGGACAAGTATTGCCTTTCCAAATGCTCCCTCCCCTATATTCCCAACTTTCTCATATTTCAATAAGTCTGACATCAATGTTTGTAAACTGTAGCCAAATATCTAGCTATTTGAAATAGTTGAACAAACAGTGTCGGAACCATAGAAACCAACTCTTATATGACGCGCTATAAATTTGTCTTTTTGCGATGCTGAATTGTTAGAGGATTTCTGTCCATCTCGATGGTGCTTTGTGCATTGAAAGACTGTGTATAGCCCAAAATTCGGAAAATCTAGAAGATATAGAATCAAGAAAAGATTTGATTCAACATACGTGTAGCACATGCTTAAAATTATGAAAAGAATTAGTACCAATCAACAATCATACAATTATGATACTTAGGATTTCAGACGATCAGAACACTCAGGAAGCTTTCCAAGTGACTCATATCATTTAACATCATTTGAACTACTGAAATCATTTAACTATTCATCTTAAGATACAAGAGAAGAGAGTACTATAAAAAATAAATAACTACATTTACAAAATTAGGTCTATTTTGGTGCGAATCCGAATGAGAGGTTGAAAAATGATGTGTGTTCTTAGTAAAATCTTATAAGCATGACAAAGTGAAAACAGCGTACTCATTCGCTGAATAGATTAATACGAGTGGTCAACAATGGACTTTGGTCCTTGGAATTTCGTACCTGTAGTATTGTCCTTATTGGAGTTCATGAACCATGGACAAAGATCAACTACTGAAATAAGCCGGTGATTGAATTTTCGAAACTTCATAAAGCTTCTGTTCTCTTGAAATTAGTGCCTGAAAGATTTGAGAATATGTTACTGTTTATGGAGGCTCTAGTAATCCCGTATTTTGTAGTAGATATCAGGATCTGATTCCCCACGATGTAAATTGGAAACAGAATTCCTCAAAGTCACCATCTCACACTTTAGTGTATTATGAATCACTATTCTGACACCTGCAGATTCATTGTCGAAAGTAAGGAAATTCTTTCCAACTTTCAGACATGGCAATAATTCAAGTGGCCTCAGCTAAAGATGTCGATGTTCCACTTCCGATGTTATTGATAGAACCTTGTTGAATGAAGTAAAGTCAAACTAGTAATTAGAATCAAATACATACAGTAAGAGTTTATAGTTGAAAAATGTGTTTCAAATTGTGAACATCCGTGCGATATAAACTACACGAAATATGATGCAGAGTCCTATAATCTTAGCGGAAATGAATTGTAAGTTGTTAAGTCGATGATTATAGTTAGATCGCCAGTGGGTAAGGTAATGAAATCTGGTGAAAAATGTAACCGAAAATCATACCAGTTACTGACAACAACGGTTCTAGACGTAAATTGTAGGGAGCCAATAGTTGCTTTGGGCGACATTCAGCGAGTCGTTCCAGAGGATGGAGAATGGTTGTGTGAATATTACCACGAGGATGCTAATCAGGCACTTCGGCCTCGCTTTGGTTAGGTCAGTCAGATTGACATGTGGAAAGGACTTCCCGAGACAGTTGGTATAAATTCAATTTATAATGTCAAAAGCAAGTAAAAGTATTTTTCACAAGTAATTGACACGAATACAAACTTAACGAACTTATTGTGGCTAACAGTGTGGTAAATGTACAACTGACAAGGTCTGCTTGGTCCAATTAAAAAGGAGGGCAGTTTTATAATGTCGCAAAGTTAAATACGACCTAAACAACAACTTTTATGAATCGTGAGGGAAATGTTATTTATTTATAAATGAGAAACTTTTGTCGACCAATATGTGGGCTTAATGAAGTGCTATATATATCACAATACTAGATACTTACATCTCTATTCTGAAAACGTCACAATTTTCTGGCTAACTTGTGCAGTACCCATCCCCGGTGATTTTCACCTCCTTCTACGAAACATTTAATCAGTGCAATGGATTACCACGTAATTTTCTTCACAAGGTTCATCACGAGTTTCTGGATGCTTTTGCTGATCAGTGCACTTCCACATGTTCCGTATGTCGGCTGTCGAGCTCAGATTCTCCACTTTCAACATATGTCCATCTCAGTGTTAAGGGAAAGACTCCAAGTTGTATATATATATATATATATATATATATATATATATATATATATATATATATATATAATTATACTCCTTTGGAAACTAACCCGTCTTTTGGCCTCTGGGATGTAATGTCCATCAGATCACTCCCGATTGTCATCGGTTGGCCTTCTCACTAGAACAATTATGACTAGCTTGCTCTACTGGATAAATATCCTGCTCCTCTTGTCACGTGGGTAAATTCAACCACATTCAAAGGTCACAATCTGTGACTTTCTTCACTGGAAGACTACTACAGTAACAAATGTCAAAACCATAATCATACTGAGATTGAACCACTATATGGTAGATCTACATATCTCAAACAGTTATATTCTTCCTAATTACTTTGAATGTAACATACACACGTTTATTTACAAACGCATTATTTGTGGCAAAGATATTGGATCTATGCTAATTTCGGTCAAAAAATGTTACTAATTTGAAGTGTCGCCCAGGTCATGTTCCTGTGCAGCATAAATTTACCTATTTTAATAACTGTTCTATTTGTAACCTCACATCTTGCAAACTTTGTTCTTATATTACTTCATATTCTACCTGTTACTCCATTGAGTGAAATTCACAATGAAATTGTTGCAACCAATGTTTACTTTTTGACCCGAAGAAGGAGTTTGTAGAGTTTTTAATTAAAGGATTAAGTCAGATGTATTTTAATAAGCATCAGGGTTATGATAAACCTCTAAACTACAATGGATAACGAAATATAGGTCAATTTTAACAACACGAATCAGTTGACTCAAATCGCAAAACCGAGTATCTAACTAATTGAATGTTGGTCAGTGCTATTGCTTTACTGAGCATTTGGAGATATTTCAAGTCTCAAGGTTGGTTTTCTCGTTTGTGCGTCATTGTTTGTAATACCGTGGCTGTTATTATTAGTTGCTGTACAGTAAGATTAACTTAAAAATTCGTGGTATATCTTTACTAGAAACTGTCTGGTGCTCTGTTTGCCACAACCTTTTTTAATCTAAAATGAAAAATTAAAGCAATATTCCTGATTGTGTGTTGTACTTACCTGATATTTGCTTAAGACTTTAGAAAATTCGTCATGATTTTTTTAAAAATTCGTTTTTGTTGTCTGTGAAGCTTTCAATAATACATTCGACGAAGTAAAGCCCCAGAACATTAATACCTCGATCTCTTTATTTTTGGGAATTATTGGGTAAATCCTCAGCTTCGGGGAAATATTGGGCGTCTGGGTGTGTTTTCTTTTCTTATAGTAATTTGCAGCCATAAGGCGATACAGAGCGGACCGTTGTTCCAAGCCACATGTTTGTGACGTCTGTCTGCTTCTGTTTCCATAGCTGTTTCTTGAGGTATCCTTACTTCCCAGTAAGCTGCCACCGGCAGGTTGACAAGTATTCAGGGTATGTCGACTAGTCTGAACACAAAATTTGTTTTCCTTTTTTCGTTCATCTATGAAACAATCAGTATGTCGAAGAGATTAAATGTTCCAGATGTACGATTGGAACTGATAATGTCCAGTTATTAGTGAGTGGGTTGCGACGTCACTTATATGTTCAGTTGTTCTGTCATCAGTTTTGTTAACTTTTCTGGTCACTGTGATCTAAAACAACAAACATGGTTGTAGTATTCAGCTTTTATAAGTCATTCACTAGCTTATCAAGTCAAAAGTTGGTCATCAAGTCTAATTGTTGTCCTTCATATTACATTCATCGGTATTATGCAATCTGATACAATAATGTACACCAGTTCAAGTTGTCACAGCCTTCATATTTCACCATAGTTTAAGTAAATATGTATTCTGATGTTAACTTTAGCCCAGTGTAGTAGGTTTTCCACGTTATTTTTCATGGTAAGTCCTTTTGGTTTCCTCCTAATTTATATATTTGTTTTGAACTTAAAGATTAGGTGATCCTGGATCAGGTAAAAGTCAACTACTTCGGTCTACTGCAAGTTTAGCTCCAAGAGTTTATATGTATGTGGAGATACAGCGACAGCTCCTGGTTCAACTGTTAGTACGATTCGTGAAGGTAACAACAGCGGTGGGGGATTGTGATAATTAGAAGTATTTGAATTATAGTATGAGCTAGGAATCCCAGAAATAACGCACTTTAATCAAGAAGTATTAGATGAACAAGAACGAATGTATTGTATTTGGAATTCGAAATCAAGCAGTCATCAAGCACGAAGGAATAATTGGTTCATGTAAACACCACATCTTCCACGGCTTAAATTGGAGTCTGTGTATGTAATCGATCGTGCCTCTTCTTCTTCTTAAGTTCATCATGTGTCTGCCTGAGAGTGTATTGGATAAAAACTCTCTATTATCTAGAATGTACTCTTTAGTATTAGATTTAACAACCAAAATTGGAACAGACTCACCTGGGTCCTGTAATTGTACTTTATCAACATGTCGGTTATGTATACTGAAGTCATTGATATCTAGAATCCGCACCAACAATTTCCCGACATTCTTCACCACTATTGTATCGCGAAGAGAATTGTGAATGGTAACTTTTGAGGACTATTTATTGGCCAATGTAATGTGTATATCTCCTATTGTAACTAACCTAATCATATTCGTTTACTCTTATCATTAGCTTTATTTTGACCTTTGAACTATTATTATACGACTTTTGGGTTATCATAAGTTTATTGATTACTATTAACAGCCACATTTGGCTAAATATTGTACAAATGTTATCTTATTTTTTATGGTACAATGCGGTCTGTTTGGTTGGTATTTAAACCCAGTATGTTTGTGAATAATGATTGATACCACAGAGTCTGTTATTGGTGTTTTGGACTTAACTGGCTGGGCTAGGCAGATCGCAGGACCGGTGAGCACTCTAGACTGCTCGTACGGTTTCGTGTGTCACTGTTCCGATCGATAATTCGCTGCTCCCTGATTGGCGGTCTCATCAAGTCACACATTAGCTAGGCATCCACTCGGCCACAAGATATAACAACCACAATCGCCTTGGCTAGTCGAAGATCATTCCCACAATAATATGTAACTTCTACAGACCCCAAACACCTCATATTCGAACAAATAATTCTTCCCTTTGATAGCTTTGATGGAATCCCTTTTGTCACAGAATGTTTCACATTTCTATAT